ATTCATAGAAAGTAGTCGTTTGGATAGGTTGGGTTTTTTCTTGATCTTTCTGCGCGTCTGGGCGCATCGCTTTCCAGGTGCTTCTGTCTTGTGCGTCATCCTCCATAGCTTCTCGACTCTTCATCTCCTCCTTCGCCATCGTCGCCAAATTCTTCATCGGGCGTCCTTCTTTTCTACCGACTTTTTTCCAGTCTCTCGCATTCCTCCATTGCCTTCTTCGCCGGACCCTTGTACCGGATGTTGTGGCCGAGGTATGCCCATCTTCTACTTTTGACCGCCTCCGGTAATCTTTTGCGGTGTGCTATCTCTCCATTGACGTTTAGCAGACTTCCAAGTGCCTTCATTCCTTTTGTTGACACTTTCGTTTTATCAATCTTTCTTCTTATAGTCTTGGTCTCGTTTACAATTAGATTATGCTTGCCCAGCGTTTCTTTGGCTATTTCACAGGGCTATTTCAACCACTTTATCTATCGCATCCGTGGTACCCACAAAGGCTACGTCATCACGTTCACGTTCATCTCCTTCGGTGGTAGATAGAAAGATTGTGGTAGATAGAAAGATTGAAACCCATTCTCCGATCACTAGTATATAAAACTTTTGAATTGCTGTTATTATCAAAGGTTTTATGCACCAGTGTTTGGAGAGCGGGTTTCAATCTTTTTACCCTTCACAAACATTTTTCCAAACAAAAAGAACATTGCTAGCCCCTTGCTTAGATAAAGATTACTATTTCTAGAACATTAAAGAGCCATGCCCACAATTTTAAAATGAAACAATTAACAAAAAGGTTCAAAACTATATTATTAAAAATTCTGCAATGACTGTGTGAAAATTGGAAAATAGCATATTTTGAAATTGTAGCAACCTGTTCCTTCCCCTACTACAAAAATCTACATACCGTAGAAGCTCAAAACTATATTATTAAAAATTCTGCAATGACTGTGTGAAAATTGGAAAATAGCATATTTTGAAATTGTAGCAACCTGTTCCTTCCCCTACTATAAAAATCTACATACCGTAGAAGCTCAAAACTATATTATTAAAAATTCTGCAATGACTGTGTGAAAATTGGAAAATAGCATATTTTGAAATTGTAGCAACCTGTTCCTTCCCCTACTACAAAAATCTACATACCGTAGAAGCTCAAAACTATATTATTAAAAATTCTGCAATGACCAGGGTCCACTGTGTGAAAATTGGAAAATAGCATATTTTGAAATTGTAGCAACCTGTTCCTTCCCCTACTACAAAAATCTACATACCGTAGAAGCTCAAAACTATATTATTAAAAATTCTGCAATGACTGTGTGAAAATTGGAAAATAGCATATTTTAAAATTGTAGCAACCTGTTCCTTCCCCTACTACAAAAATCTACATACCGTAGAAGCTCAAAACTATATTATTAAAAATTCTGCAATGACCAGGGTCTACTGTGTGAAAATTGGAAAATAGCATATTTTGAAATTGTAGCAACCTCTTTCTTCCCCTACTACAAAAATATACATACGGTAGAAGCTCTATTAAAGGAGAACTGACACGCAAAAATAACTTTGGCTTATTCGATGCAAAATTTGTCGCTGATTTCAAATCTGGAAAAAGTTTTCTTCTTAGATTCGCCGTTTTTCTGATATTTGCACTTTTATCCGTCAAATACGTCACAGCCAGGACTCGGGAATTTCCCGAAGCGGAAACAAGATTATCGCCAGGAGTTGTTAAAATTCTCGGTTGACGTCACAAGTGACATGTTAACAATGCCGTTGTAAAGGCTTTCACCGCAACGGTGAAAGTACAAGTGAAGTTTCGTGTTTTATTGAAAAAAGTCCGCGGTGAAAAGACAAAAAATTGTCAGGCATTTCATTTATAAGTATATAGAGGCTAGAAAATCCTAGCTACATGTCTGCTAAGACGCTTATATCCACATAAAATTTATTTTCATGCCATGATATCTTCGAACCAGCATGCTTTGAAACATTGAAAGAACCTCTAAGCTTGTGAAAAAAGGAGTCGACTTTGTTTGAAAACTGATACCGTTTCTTCAAAGTTTTTATTTTTACAATTACAAAAAAATCGCAACATGGGGGGTGGGGGAGGGGGTTGAAGCAGTAGCCAAAAGACAAACGAAATCTAGTGGAGACAGCGGTAAAAGCGATCCTGCAACCTGCTTTGGGTGCAGAAATATGAATTCAAGAAAAAACCTTGGTTGATGGGAGCTGCGAGTGTGACTAAATAATAATTTCACTGAACTTGATTATTGTATTTTAACAGAGGTTGAGATACTAGGGAATAACCTAGTCTTGCAAAGAGCCCATCCCCCACCCAAGTCAAAATTGCTTGCAAAAGAATACAATGCGCCAGTTGATATTCCTATGACAGCTAAACAGCATTTTCTTCGACTAAGAAATCAAGTTCTTTGACTAAGAGCTAAGAGCTTATTTCGTAAATCCAGATCTTTCGACTGCCAGGTAACTTATCAGTTCCCGAAACCCTTCACGCCGGGTGAAAATGGCATAAAATCCGCACAAGTCGACTTTTAACCCGCCTTTACTATTCAATATCACTATACAGTTAACGCGTTTAAAACATTGAAAAACAATCATAGAATGTTACATTAACAATTAATAACTTGCAGTTCCGTTTAGGGCATCATGGGCATTTTAGCCAATTTAGGCCATACAGACAAAGCAGTCTGGCCAAAGACGCCTCAATCTGAAATAAAATTCTAGTTTTACGATACCTGATCTCATTTAGATTGTAGCAATAGCATTATTTTTAATAGAAATTCCATATCAGTTTGTACTTCCAGTCTGTTCTTTGTTTACAATATCGTCACTGTTGAGCCATGGGATGACTGTCTGCCCAAGCGGCAGTGCTGGTTGGTAGCAAAAACTCAGACGGCTGAAACTCTCCATTTGTTTCGAAATCAGTGTAATAAAACTCCGATTCAGAGTCCCAAACTATTGAAAAAGTCAATTATATGTCAAAAATGCAAAATTAGCTCCTTTCACATGCACAAAATAAACATTTGTCCGCAGCATTTTGTTAAAGGTTTCTATAGAGAAACACAATACGTGCTGAGAACATGTCACTTGTGACGTCAAAGATGATCGTCCACTCGTGACGATTTTCGCCTCGAGTCTCAAGTTGTCGGAACAATTGTCGTTTCTCAACTTAAAACGCCTGTATTTCAAAAACGGTAACTGTGATTTAAAAAATTTTTTCGATCCTGGAATTTGCTTGTCACAAACTACCGTTTTAGCCAAACTTATTTTTGCGTGTCAGTTCTCCTTTAAAGCATATGTCGATACCAAATCTAAAACATTATGCTCACCTGGGGATAATACATCCTCACAGTGCACTGTAGGTATAGCCATGCAATTTTGCTAGTTTTCTTCATCCAGATTGCTTGATCTTTTTCAGGTTATACAGACGTTCCACCATTACACTTCAGCTATAGTTAAGGTAATCTTTTGTCCATTATGCTTGTAATGTTCCTGGTTTCTTTCATTAATAAGTTTGTTTCAACTTGCCATTTATATTTTTTCATGGCTTGTACAGAGAGCTCCACTTAGATTCGATGCTGATAGTGTTAAACTTTCTTGTAATGAAAAGGTGCAAGACAAATGCTACCATCCATAGTGATAGCCAGTTCATTATTCGCTAGATTTGAATCCCTAAAAGATAACAGCTTCTTGGCACTTTACGACCTGTTTGATTTTTAACCACTATCTTTGATGTTTTTGACAATTGATTTTCATTTCCACTTCACAAACTAGTGAATTCTACATTTTTTCTGGGGCAGACACTTCAAATATTGGAGGGAAGGGGACACGTCTATTGTTTTACTAAGAAGACGTCACATTTTTTCATTGTTTTAGAAAAAAAGACCTTTGTCCTCAAAAGTATTGGACTGCCCCCCTTCCCCCCAGGTGTCTGCTACTGATTTTAGGATGTTTGAGTAGTATTTGTTTTTATCGTGTTGTTTACGATAATATTAAAGATGAAACCTTCTCAAAGTTGAGTAACAGCCGTCTGTATATGGTAGATACTGCCTGCTTAGAAATGCAGGTGTGAGGTCGCTTAATAACTGAAAATGCAAGCTATTTACACCGAAAAGGAATAATTAACTTAGAATAACACAACGCTTCCTAGAATTCTTTGAGCAATTGAAGTATTGAACATATTGTGTTATTACATAAATGTGATTACATGATGATTATTCGTAAACCTCGTCCACAAGTGTCTTGATATGCTTTCTAAGTATTCATTTTTTGGCAATTAAGTGAAAGTTAAAACTTCAAAGTGGAAGCCTATAAGGTGCAAGCAGTTAGGATGAAGATATTGTTATGACATATTTTTATGATGAGAAGAATAGAGAAGGATTGTAGGAGAACACCTTTTTTGGTTAAAAGAGTTGAAGTCGATAGGACCCTAGATGTCCGAAAATTGCTAGACCTCGATGCTTCATCATGCTTTAATATTTTTTTTTCCAGGTGAGATGGGCTCATGATAATAATAACCATGACCTTAATACACCATACAATATGAAACTGGCTGCTGCCGATCAAGCAGGGCATGTCATGGTATGGGATGTAGGTAATGGAAAGTTGCTGCAAGAGTTCTCAGAACCAGGTAATGAAATTAGGTAGCCAGTTATGGCATAGATTTACTGTTAATTGATTTATGCAAGTAGTTGAATCTCTTTGCGATTCAACCGTCACTCAAATGCTGACTGGCGATGCTAGCAGAGCTGTTGATAATTAATATAGCAAGTTGTTGGTTAATGTTTAATTTTTGTTTTTTTTAGGAAAGCCTGTCCACGAAATGCATTGGCTTAAAAACATTGACGCTCCAAACAGCCTACTTCTGGTCCTTCATGCTCCTGGACAGCTTGTGCTCTTTAATACAGAGACTAACGTACGATTATGGAGAAAGGCCTTCAGTGAGCCTCTTGTCTCTTTTGCACTTGATCCCTTTGACCCCCAAAGCATGGCTCGTAAGTATGCATTTTCTATCTTTGTGTCGCTGGTCGTTCTACTTATATCGATAAGAAATTTAATGAAATGTTTTTCTAGATTAATCTATGCTAGTTTTTTACTGTACACCTTCCAGTCCCATGTCAAGTGCTGGGAACTGGGGAACACAGACGATACATGCAAAGTCCTGCTCCATCCCCTCCTATTACTGGTAGCTCTTGCCTTTGGACGCCTTCACAGTGTCAACACTCCCAAGGCGCCACAATCTTTCTTTTAATTTCTACCCGTTTATTTCACTGATCTATAAAAAAGACTGGATCAAGCTTCCTATTGTCTTGAAACACCAAAGTTTGAAGCCCACTAAATTTCAAAAGGAAGAGGGCCCTCAAACAATAGCGAGAAGCCATTACTCAAAACCAATACTTCAACGATATGGATACGCGAGAGCTGCAATGCTTTGTGTATGATTGCTGAAAAAGAACAAGGCCAAAGCAGCTGAAAACATTGCAAGGGGTGACAGAGAAGGCCGTCTCCTCGCATGGGCTGTTCTGGGGCCCTCTTCTCGGATGGGGACACTCTGGTCACATTAGAAGCTCGATCCAGTCTTTTTTATAGATCAGTGGTTTATTTGCCCTTCCAGACTACTTCGGCGCGTGTTATCTGCTCATTACAATACCACAATCTGCTGTCTCGTACTCTAAACGAACTCAAGATCGCAAATGCTCGAAATAACGATGCCCAACCAAAGTCCGAAAATTACTAGGTTTTAGATAAAGTACAAAACAATGATTGGAATAAACTAATGTCTAATTTCATAAAAAACTCTCTAAAAATATATAAAATATAAGATTAAAGGATTAACATATCGTCGAGCTTAATATAATGCTGATGTAGCATATCTTTTAAAACCTCTAAAAGTTCTAAAGCGTTACTTGAAAACCTTTCCTTTCAATGCCATTCCCAAACTCTGTCTACTGCTGGCTTTGTGATAAGATCATCATATAAAAATCATCATCGTTGTGACTGTCTTCTAACATATTTTCAACCTGCACTTCAGCATGTATTTTTTTCTTCTGCTTGCAAACTTGCTGTTGTAGTTATTAACTCGTTCTAACATTCAGGGAATCATCAGTATTTGCGCTGAATTGGAATATTTCCTTGCAGTTTCTCAAATACTTGATAATTAGTGAAGGATATTACGCTCTTAAGAAGCAGATCAATTTTTGATAGGCATCTTTCCAGTCCTTACTGGCAATCAGAACTTCAAATGAGAGGTTTAAAAGTAAAACAATCTTTGCACCATGTTTTTTGCACAAATGTATTGCTAAGCGAAATTGCTGTAGATGCCTATGGCGGGCAGCTTTTGAGTATTGCAGTTTATTTGTCTGTGTATTGTGATTAATCTGCCCATTGTTTCGACTAATCAATGAAAATAGAAATCAATTCATTTCAACAGTAATGTCACAAGAGTGGATCATGTTCCTCCACGACCTGAACACAACTACAGCACCATCAGATAAGGGCAAGAAATTTTACATGACGTCAAATACAAGTAGTCTGCAAGCCGGTGGTGTGGGAGCCCAAGGGGCAGTAAACACACCAATGAAAACTGGCACTTCAAAGTCTGCATTCGCAAAAATGAGGTCGTGGGCAGGAGACATCAGAGGAAGGTTAGAAATTGAAAGCTGTTTGAGTGATTTTAACATTTGCTAAAAGGACGTCTCCTGTTAGGTCGCATATTTTGATATTAGTTACCATGGTAATACATGGCCAAAGGCTCTAGCTATTATTAAGCCACTAGATTTATGGGTAAAGATTGCCCTTGACTAACAAATACATTTCATGTACGTGCAATTGCAAGGGGGGGGGGGCAAACTGTGAATGAAGGATCATAAGGCTGTATGTGCAACTCAAGGGGGGGGGGGGCAAACTGTGAATGAAGGATCATAAAGGCTGTATGTGCAATTGCAAGAGGAGGGGACCAAACTGTGAATGAAGGATCTTAAAAGCTAGGCTCGTGTGTTAACTTTTCCTTCTAAAATGGTACAAATTTTTTAGAAAGTATGAATAATACCTACAGCTAAATATTTATTAGCAATGCGCTAAATTTTATGTTATGTTTTTTATAGAAATGGAGATGAAAGCCTGTCATCATCTGAGTGCCTTCAAATCGCTTATAGCCCCACAAATAAAGGCCAGTTCCTCCTTCTTTTCACACGCGAAATCCTGTTTCTGGATTTAGAGTTTGGGCAGGCGATTGGCTCATTTGCTGTTGAAAACAACAGTCCGTCATTTCTTCAGATCATTCCCTGCTGGCACCGCGATGCCTTTTTCTGCCTCTTTGAGAATGGCAGCATAACTCTAAAGCTGCGTCGTTCACCTGCTGCAGTACCATATCAGCACGACGAGAAACATGCTCCAAGCAAACTTGCACCTGATATATTCTACGACGCAAAATGCCACTCTGATGTCTTCAGACTGAGCAGGCTTTGCCGCATTATGGGCTTTTCTGTCAATCCTGCAAATGAGAAAGAAATCACGCTCGTTTTAAGCGACGGTCGTGTGTTGCTTTGGGAGCTTACCTGTGAGCCGGCTGTGAAAACAATCGACTCACCAACAACTGATAGCGCTTTGACTTTAAGCGAAATGCTTCCTCCTTTAGTCGAATTCACAGGTACCTCGGTTCCAAGAAGTCTGCCTAAAATGAAATTTTTGTTGACTGGAATGTTTGAAGGAGTTGCTTCGAATCCAGTGTGCATTAAGATGTGCCCAGCTTTGACTACAAAAAACTGGGCCTTTTACAAGCCATTGGCTGCTGTTGGTGAGTTATACCGTATTTTAATGCAGAAAGGAGTTGCTAAAATTTCTTGTGATCCAGCTGAAACTGAAAGATTCAATTCTATGTGCAACAGTTCTCTTTATAAACATTTCAGATATATCCTTATTGCCTTCTCTGATTGCAATTTTTAGTTATATTCGAAGATATAGCAAATAAATAGGATATTTTTTGTCTATGACATTTCTTTTACTCTACGGATTGCCGAAAGTTTGATTAAAAGGAGCAGATTTGGGGTAGTTTACTATAGCCATCATTATCAGGTTCACATGAAGTTATACTCGTGGCCACTGGATTAGAAGATTCAAGGTCAAAGCTACTAGAGATTTAGAATTGAGGAAGCGTATATTCTCAAGGCAAGATCTCTTGATCCCCCCCCCCCCCCCCCCCGGACCAAGCCTAAATGACATGTTCTGTCTTGATACGCAAGACAGTGAGCAATTGCTAGAGACCGTTTAAATTAAGGATATCATTATATTAATGTTTTGTACCAAAGTGTTTTTGGCAGCGCTGGTGAAATCGCATTTCAGCAGACGAGATTATAATTTTTATTTAAGTAACTGAAAATACGTTTGAAATTTTAGGGTGTTCGAACGGACTTGTTCAGATCTTCAATGTTACTGATGGTTCTCTGTTCCGAGAGGTTGCTGTGCATGCTACCGCTGTAAAGTAAGTTAACACTTCAATGAGCTTTGTCTTTAACATTAGTTCATGATCTTACCTGGAGTAGAACATCATACTTTGGTGTTAAAATCCCTTCTGGGAGGTGCCTGAGTTTATACTATGATCGAGTTTAGTAGACGGTTAAAAAGCCAAGATGAAGCGAAAGACGATATTTATTTAAGAACCTTTTCCCAATACAAAATTATGGTTCTCATAGTTGACCTTCCCAGTTCACAATTTACCAGTCTGTCGTTTTAATATTACATGACTCTGTCTTACAAGGCATTACATACACGCTATATATGCATAAATGATGATAAAGTGAACCCCCTTGGTCTAGGATGCATGGGTTAAACCCATATGCTCCCAGCCAACTGCGCATTTTTATTGTTTGTCATAGCCTCTTCAGTTATCTACATCTGTTGTCTTGAGATGATTTCTACATGACTTTGAAATTTATAGCTGATTTTTGTTGTCCTTTGTTTACATGCGTTTGCTGTGAAAATGTGTTCACCAAGGGATGGTTACAGTAGCTTTCTTTGTGTTTCATGTGCTTGCTCTTTTATCCCGCCTGAACTCTGGAATCTTTTGAGTGTTTTGTACCTCATTTACTTCCACGAAGTGTTTCTTTATCATGTTCTTGTTTCTAGGGGTTTAGAGTGGTTCAACTTATCAACCTTGCTTACATTTGCTCACAGCAGTAGTGGTGTGGCCAAAAGTGAGATACAAATGATCGATATCAGAACAGGTAATTTAGAAAGTTCTAGCAAAGGATTGGTTTGCTGTTGTTTTTTAAGGGGTGTTTCCCGCTATTGATCCATACGTTGGGGGAATGCCTGTTATCGACGATACAACATGCACACAGGGGCATGATAGGTTAAGATGACCAGCTAATTCTCTCGCTGCCTCTACCTGCCTGTGGGTTAGGCCATTGCTGTTGGACATAGGAAGCCTCCTTTCTACATCTGAGTTATCTTTAGAGCCTCTCTTGAAAGCAAATGCGTTACGAGAAACTTAATATTCTTACCTCCTACATGAGCAAGTATGGTGCTTTGCTGTGTATGCCATGGTAAAACTGAGCCACTGTGTCTGGCTTCTCATTGTATTTTTGATGGCCTTTGTGCTATTTTGAATTCAGGTAGCATCTACTTTTGTCGAAAAACATTAAGACATAATTACAATCTCCCCCAATGCAAGTTTGGGTATGAAAGGAATGTATGCTGATCATACTTGTTGATCTTTGAGCTTGTTGATATTGATTGATCAAACAATCACCACCTTTAACAAAGAATAGCACAATTTAAAGTTCAAAATATGAATAACTGTGAACCAGAGATCCAAAGCCATGTACTATAATTTTTATAAAAAGCGTATGATGCTTTGTCAATTTTAGGCCAAACAAGCGTGCTGCCAAACAGCAGAGGTTTGCAAGAATCCCATGTCGCCTGCATCAGGGTTTCGCATCAAAGGTGAGTTTCGCATTAATCTTCTTGATTGGCTTGGTTGGAATTGTTGGCGTGAATCTTTACAAAATTCTATTTGATCAAAATGTTAATTTTGTATTTATCGCTATTAATTCTCAAGTTCGTTTTTAAAGGCAGTACTTCTTGGTTCTCTTCACGAATCATCACGCGGAATTATGGGATGCCGTGGCCATGAGCCAACTAAGAGAATTTCCTGGCAATTTCCCATCAATCACTGCTTTGGTAGGTATTATAAGTTTCTCCTGGTAAAGCATGTTTAATGCTTTGATTATATTTGTTGGCTAAGGTGAATTGGTCTCGTGTTTTATATGTTATATAATGAAATCTGCATTAAGAATCTAGATTTTTTTAACCAGTCTAATTACTTTCTTAAGAAACACTTTTTTTAAATTTTTTGTCCAGTTAGATTAAATAAGATTTTTATATTGATGTATCCACACCTTGTGCAGACTTAAAATCACCCATTCCCTGTTTTTATCATTGTGTACAGTCTATAGTTATTGCAATCATATGTAGGCTTCAGATAGAAAGGCTGACACAACGAAGATTTCTTTGTCGCAACATGACTCAGACTCCTACTCCGTCTGGCGTGCTTGTGAATTAGTTTGCAAGCTATTCAGATCCTGCATGATTAATTAGCAACGCATTCGATTTACAAAAGCTATTTCCAGTACTTCTGATGATATAGATTTTCGCTCTCAACCTTGTAAAAATGACATATATAAGCATGGCTGCGGGCGCCTTTGGTGTATATAACAGGATGGTTCTAGGTTCCAACTCGCGAGTTTAATGCTTCATGCAATCATCATGCAAATTATCTTTTTTAATAATGAGATTATTTATATAGATTAAGTCGAACCTGCGACCAGCAAAACTGTAGGTCATGCTCGTATTTTCTCTCAGTTTATATTCTCAAATGTTGTTTTAACTCAATTTTATAATTATTTAGTTTATTGATACTCAGTTTACAAACTTTTGATGCTTTGTGACCATAAAATTCTATATGCAGGAATGGTCGCCGTCGCACTACAGCACAAAACTTAGAAAGAAACATGCCCCAAAGGCTGAGGCAGTACCCGATGCACCCGGATCTGGTGGAGCTGTGCTGGAGAATTCAAGTCAAACTGAACAGAAAACTGTAATTATCTATGCAGTTCTTGTACTTTTTACCTTTTTACGTTAACGATTGTCGTAAAATCCTCCCCTGAGAAACGTCATACTTAAAGTCTTACTTGAATTTTTTAAATCTTTGCTCACTCTCAGAAAAAGAAATCCATGCTGACAAGTTTTGCATTTAGTCTAAATGCTAAATTTAGCTATTACTGTAGAATATAATCGTTATGCTATTTGTAAATACGATCTTGAGCTGCAGTGATAGTTTCCATGCCTTTTTAGAATTATACAAATCACATCTTTATTGGAGAATCACGTGAAGTCTTCCAATAACTTCGGAACGTCAGCACAATTTCAGCGACATTTATATTTCAATTTATGATAGATTTGCATGTCTCTGATATATATTTCAGCACTTTCCAAATGTCTTTGTTGCTTATTTACAAATGCCCTTAAACAATGTTTCTTTTTCATTGTAAGAAATTGTATTTTTCAAACTTGCCACTATTATATGCATTGAAACTCAAGGTTAGTGAATTTTTTCCAGTCATACACAAAGGAGCACCTTGTTTTCACAAATGCTGATGGTATTGTATATCATTACGTCATCGAAGGAACTTCGATGAAAGATGGATCGCGGGTACCCCCTGAGGTAATCTAAAAATGCTATTTTCACCTTTTTTAGTATGTCTCGATAAGAGGGGGGGGGGGGTAATCGAAATAAAGCCCCTGCTACAGAAACGACAATATAAAGTATCTTATCAATGAATAAAAAGGCTGTTTACGTGTTGTTATGTAAAACAGAGCACTTTCAATTTTTTTTCGCATTTCAAGATCGTCAGGCAACCAATACAATGTTTTTATCTATTTGCAACATATATATTATTGTGTGTTCCTGCCCCAGGTGAGTCACTCAAACCCTTTTTTATACGGAGAGGTCCATCCGCAATTATCAAAATTCACCAAAAAGTATCGAAAACAATTTTACCAAAGTTATCAGCTAAAAATTGTTGATAAGATCAAAAAATATTTAAATATTAAGTCTTGTTGTTAAGCATATAAGATACGTTGTTGAGCACATAGACCGTTTCGTACAATTATCAGTTTAAACAAATCTGCTTTTTTATTCCTGTTTTTGATATTGTTAGTTGTATTGGACCCATAAGTATCATAAAGGTATATTTATAAATCAGGTTCCAAAATGTATCACAGAGAAAATTCTTAAAATTATCGGATGGATCCCCCTTCCCCGTATATAAAAATTTCAAGTGACCCCCGGGGATCTTTGCTTCCTGATCTGATGACAAAAACATCCTGAAGAATAACAAAACTTCTAATAGTTTTTTAGCTAGTTATGAGAACGTACTACAGATTTATGTTAATTTTAACAAGCAGTATAGGAGCTTCTTTTTGCACTGATTAAGTCTCACAAATGGCAAAAAATAGAAGCATTTGTGATTTTTTCGTAACCGATGCATAATTAACATCCGTATTTTTGTTGTGGGTCTTTATGTATCATCGATTTAAGAGTATTTTTAATAGCTGATAAAGTTCCTTTGCAAAATCAATAATTTGCATCCCTTTGCAACAATATTTTTACCTGCTGAATTTTTTTGGAACTTATGTTATTTGATTTTTTGGCAGAGTGGAATGAGTGCTGTCACTTTCATTGCTTGGAAAACAGATCTTCTTGTTTTGGGTGACGTCGATGGGAATTTAAATCTTTGGGACTTGAAGGGGAAGCTTTCCAGGTGCGTTTTCTCTCACAAATAAGTACTCTACTGCCTGCAAATAAATACTCTACTGCCAACAAAAAGGCAATGTATTATGCCTTTGTCCCTCAATGCTTATGGTATCTTAATGCCTTAATACCAGTCTTGTGCTCAATAATCGGTTGTTCCTTACCAGAGTCTTTCCAAGTCATCGTGGTGGGGTCAAGAGGATGAAGTTTGCCCCTGGCAAAGGAAACATGAAGCTTATGGTTCTGTTTGCTGATGGCATAGACATATGGGAAGCAATGGAGGTTCGTTTCGTAATGCTATTTCTTTTATAGAGGGTGTAGATTGTTCTAATGCAGAATGTGGTTACCACAAATCAAGTTAAGGATTGATTGCTGATAATTATCAAGAGAAGTAAAACCCAGCATCAGTTTAACCTAGAAAACTTCATTCGTTAACTTCAATTTAGAGTTCATTTCATTTCATTTAGCAGTTCATTTCGTAAACTTCAATTTAGAGCTGAAAGTATATTTCGATATTAGCCTGGTAGAGGATACTCAATTACTCACAATAAGACAACGTTGAAAGCCTCACAATTAAACAAATATAAAGAAAGTGTTCAGTTGTTCTGGCATAAAACCACCTCAGTAGCCGATATTTTACAACCGCCTTAAGTTTTTCTATGTATCTTTTTCTGTCGCATTTTTCGCTGCCTGTGTCGAATATAGTTGATGGAAAGGATTGATGGAAATATAGTCTAATTGTAAACTCAATTTTTCCTTGTTTTTTTTGCGAAGAATCCGTCTGGCAGTATGACTTTGCTTCAAATTTCCAGTTATTTTTATTCGATTATTATTACCCTTAGGCAACTATTTTATTGAGTCTGAAGACGACAAAAGATCAGCCTAGCGTGGTTGATGCTGATTGGCTATCATCTGACATGCCATTGTTGCTATTGTCTGACGGATCCGTCAGGGCCTTGGACTCAACTCTACGAACGTCAAATTCGACCATAGCTGAAAAAGATCTTGAAGGTAGAATTTGTTTGGCGTTGAAGTTTCTCCTCTAATATTTTACTAACTCATGCTTCCAGTATCCTCACATACTGATCAATTTTGTTGGTAAATTTTTTTTGATAAGCCTAGTGGCTTGTGTTTTCAAGGGAAGAATAAAGCCCATTCTTGCTTATATCTAAAGGGCCAGGTATCTTGCCATTCCTGTGACGTCATCACTATTACCCAACTTTTTAAAAGCCAATGCTATGATGTTAAAATTTGCGTCATAGAATTATATCTATTTTGAAAATCAAAGCTAAGTGACAGATAAAGAAAGAACAGAATCTATAGCATGTTAGTTGCACAAGGAAAATTTTAGCATGCATAAGGAAAATTGAAATTGGTGATAGTAGATGCCTGTGTTAAGAAACATACATCATAGACGATTATCCGTCATAGACTCTGGAAAGGTTTCCTTATACCAATTAACTGCCAAGATCTGATTGGCCCAAGTTAACATGTCAATCAACAATCATCATTTGATTGGTCATCATCGATTGGCAGGTTAACAGCATTTGATTGGCAGCTTTTTCACACGACAACTTCGTTTCTTCGGATTTCTCCGGGTTTAGCGTTGATTAAGCTTGTCTTTTATGATGTATATTCACTGCATCTTCACAATTTCTTTTCCAGAACAGCTAATATTTTTTCCCATTTGGTTTCATAACATAGTTTCTATTTAGTACCTATCTGAGTTTTTATTATATATTGCACTTCTGTTTCTCGCTCGGGAAATGTTCGCAACATCAGTACAAAACCGTTCTATTCCTTTGAATAAATCATAGTATTATAGTAACAATTTTATATATGATGTCTAAACGGTTCTGTTCATTTCCTTATGTCTATTTGCTCTTAAAAAGCTATTTTTGAAGTGTGGAATGTAATATTAATGGTTGTGATCATGAAGCATATGTCTAGTGACGTATCTCTTTGTTATAAAATGTCCCTCTTATCAAAGGTTGAACAAACTTAAACGGTCTGATAGAATTAGTTTAATTTGATGAAATAATTATAAGTTAGAGGTCGCTCTATCCAATTCATATTTTTGAATAAAACTAGCAAAATCTTGATTCTGACTTCTGATTATTCTTAACTTGTTATTTGAAGAAAAATCAAATTAAATTTTTGTTGAATGAAATTCTTGTTATTATTTTTTAGAACAGATATTCCTGCCGAGAATTCTCCCAGCGAAACCACAGATGATCTACAAAAGTCTTCTGCAACACCAGACGTGGAATTCTAATTACAGCTTGGAATTTAATGAAATGTGAGTGATAGGCAAAGATTGTGATCCAAAATGCTTCACTTTGAGGACTGTTTTGTTAACAATTTCCTTTCATGCCATCAAAGCTTCACAATTTTTAATTTTTGGGCATACCCAGAAGAATGTTGAATTTTTTTTTTTTTAGCTTTAAAGTACCTTCAAATCAGCACAGAATTCAGAAATCGTCTTCTGAAAACAAATTGAAGTATTTTTGGTAAAGAAAAGCAAGGATCGCCGAAATGTGCCACAGGAAAGCGGAAGACGATGATATGAATAAGAGAATAGTTGTGTGCACGTATTTCACCCCGGTATAAAGGGCTTTCCCCGCGCTTCCCCGCGCTTCCCCGCGCTTTCCTGCGCTTCCCTGCGCTTCATATACAAATCAAAGGATATGTATTTTTTGTTTTCCGTACTGTTGTATTTTCTTTATCCTGTTTTAATGGTAACTTGGTTTGATTTATTCTAATGGTCATAACTTTGGAATCTATCGAGCCAACCTAATTCCTCAAATCTTGAAGAGCCTATTACCTAAATGATTATTAGGAAGTTTAGGTGTATGATTTGGATCTTCTTTAGTTGTGAATTGGTTGACGTTCTATTTTAACTCATTATCTAACATACACCGGTAAGTCAAAAATCTTTCAACTGAAGTGCCTTTTCAGTAGCAGTACCATCTTCCAAGATTTGAAAAGGTGCTTGTAAACACAGCATCCAAATTTTAGCACCCGTGTACCCGTTTACACTGGAACGGATCAATATGAATATGGAGACTTTGTTCCATTTAATTCATTGCTAGTGATTTGCCCGTTTTGTGAACTGAAATAAGAATTAGAAGACTGTCTTCATTCTGTCGGTCTTAGCCGTTTAATTATCTTGTATCTAATGTTTTGTTTGTTTACATTTTTGCGAGCAAATTAAGAAACCCAAGCATTAGTTCACATTCGAAATATAATCCACAATAACTATGGCAAACGGAAATGTGTTTAATTAGCTTGCTGTATGTTTAAAAAACGATATTTGTTTCTTTTAGCCAGGAAAATGAGATCATGGAATTTTTGAAGCCTGTTATTCAGAACTTATCGTGGTATGTTTTAAATCTAATTTTCCTCTCTTAGTTAGTTTTAAGCGATGATCCTGGATTTATGATATAAATCAGTCTGTGACATTAACAATTAAGCTGTCATAATTTTTTATGCTGATTGTGGTTTCTATCGCAAAACAGCCATTTGTTTTTATTAATTGACTATTTAGCTATCGTCAAGAGGGGATAAATGTTTACTTACAGACAAATTTTGGATTGTAAGTCATTCAACACGCAAGGTCAGATGTATCCCAGCTGAATGGCTAAATATCTGTGTTTAAAAATGGCTCACTGATCTGGGGTATAAACTAGAAAAGACTAGCAACCTTGTGGGTCCCTTATGGAGTTGCCAGTAGTTGGGTTTAGGGATGCTCCCAGCTCAATTAGGAATTACCCCCATAAGATTTCCAGGATGAATTAAGCAATAAAAACCCTGTTTTCATACCAGGTTATTTGTGATAAACATTTAATAAAAATATCAAAAAATCTTGAGAGAAGATTGTTCCCATCTATAAAAGTGGGACACTAGTTTGAAGAAAATACTGAAAGAGGGGGAAACTTAATGGAGATTGAAGACATTTATTGTATTGTTTTTAGTATTATCTAATAGAAAGTTGTTTTAATAGAAAGTTTGTGTTTCATTGAAATATAAGGAAATAAGTGAAAAGGTTCTGTTTGCCCTCTTGTAGAATAATGATCTCTATGTTTTCTTACCCATTAGATAAATGAGTTGTCTTTTTTGTGGCTGTAACACTGTGCTTAAAGGAGTGGCGGTGTAAATGAAAGTTAAGTTTAGGATTTATCAAATGGATGAGTCCTCTGACGACCCTGTTGTGATACGGCTGGTATTTTCTGTATGGAGCTGTTTTTCTTTTGAAAAAATCAATGCCCCATGAAATAGACACTTACGTTTTACTTGAGTAGTTGTCACAATTAAGTGAATGGAAAAATCAGAAATGCGTTTTCCTGTCCTTAATCCCGAATGTCAGCGTCTCCAGAATGTAGAGCAACATTGGTTCTGCATAGCAGGCCTAAAGCGCCAATATTTCCCCCTATTTTCCAGTACTCTCTGTTTTGTAAATGACTCATCTGAAAAATTAAGAATTATGCCCGGAGAGCTAGTTCTAGACTACAGAGACAAGCAAGCTTATTTGTTATCATTAACGACTAGACATGAAGCTGTGTTTTATATTTAAATCGCTGTTTGCTTGAAAATATAGTGATAAAGTACACCACAAAAATTGAGTCTTGTGGTCTATAGCGATATATACTGTTGCAATATTATGACCCAATCTTTGCCTTTGGAATATCACCGTCGTTACCACTGAGGTTAGTGAGTAGTAGCAACAATTTCCAGTGACAAAGCGCGTAATGCTTCGGTGTTTTGATTATTAACTGCATGAGACGATACATTACTTTGCAATTATTGTGGTTATCGCTTAAAATGGTTTAAAGCCAAAAAAGGAGCCTAGGAGGGTAGACTTAAGCGCTTATATTGAGGTTAATAAAGCTAAATAGTTTTGGAGCTGCTGTGTGATATTAATGTACTTAAATTGATAGTGAGAGATAAACATTGCTTGCTTTATAACAGTAATATATAAGTGTCATTGAAGTTTGAAGACAGTTTAATCGTTTTCACTAAGGCCATAGTTGTCATCCTTGGCGTTGATATATTTTTGCTGATGAGGCAGAGCGACCGCTCGACATAGCTTGTGAAGGGTCTTTCATATTTTACGACGGCTTTTTTAGGCCAATAAGTCAAGACAAATTCACTAATTCATTGGTATAAACAGGTCACCAGTGTCAGATATCTGTATTCACTGTGACTCGAGTTCTCGGATATATGTTGAAAACCATTGTAACGGATTTTTATGGGGCAATGATTGCGTTCCGTCGTAGGGAGGTGTTCGTTGCGGAGTGGCGAAGGTTTTTTGTTGGACAAAGGTGTCCGTTGAACAAAGGTGTCCGTTGAACAAAGGTGTCCGTTGAACAAAGGTGTCCGTTGGACAGAGGTGGCCGTTGTACAGAGGTGTCCGTTGTACAAAGCTGTCCGTTGTAGAGAAATGTTCGTTGTAGGAGTGTGTCCGTTGTAGAGAGCTGCTTTTTTCTGGAGGTTTATTCCTACAAGGCTTTGGCAGCAGTAAGGATATTTTTGGAATAAATCATCTGTCCGCTGTTTGGATCTGTCTGTTGTCTGGTGGTTATTTCTGCAATGGCTTCGTCATGAAGAGAAAATATGGCGCAAAGTTGTTTGTCTTTGTTTTGGAGGTGCTTACTGGAAGGTATCCGTTGAAGTCACTTCAGGGTATCAAGCTGAAGCATAAAAATATCTTTTTATGCTACTAAAATCAGTGTATTTATGCTTAAGAGGCTGTAGGAAAAGTTTTTCAAAAATATTCTATTAGACTAGGTTGATTTAATTATATTTATATAAAATGAAAAGCAAGAGTTAAAAAAATGAGCCTCGAAAAACTGTCGAGCATGTAAAGGTTTGAAGACTGTAGCCTCTGAAAATCACTGCTTTACTCTGCTTTTGGCCAATTTTTAGCGACCCTTATCATCTGAAGGCGCGCGCTGCCTTTCTTTTCCTTCCTTGTTTTCTTCATTAATACCTACAACACTTTTAAAGTTTCATTAACTTCTTCTCTCTCACGTCTCTTTCGATCCACACCCAAAGTTTCTGCTAGCTTTTGATCATTATTCGATGTTTCTGCTGTTTCGAACCATTTTCTAACTCATTGCCATGCGACAAATTGAATTTCATTCTCTGCGTGTATATATGCAGCTGCATGTTTAAACAATCATGAGGTAGTTGTTTGCAGTTTGATATAATGCGAGCAAAAAGAAACTTTTATGAAAGGTGCCATTCTTTTTACCTCACTTACAATCTGCTGAAAACATGTCTTTTGCACAGTATCCTATTCAATAGCCTTTGACGAAATTCTATGTAATTTTTTCTTACTATATATTAGCAAGATTATGTAGCCGAACAACATGTAGTTAAATTCAACCCTTTATTTAATTTCCTCCTTGTTTCCTATTTCCGTTTAATTTCATAAAAAAAGACATTTGGTTCTGTTCATTTACGGTAACATATTTAGGCATCATCTGGACAGTCGTTAACATTCTCCCTAATCAATGATTAATCATTTTTATTTAAATATGTCTCGCAGACAGTGCAGAAAAACAGGTAGTAGACAACTGGAATGTTTATCTCACAGAAACAAGATATTCAATTTAATTCAATTCAATTTGATGTTAAAATTCCAGCTCTTAATTCAATTCAATTTCAGCTTTCAGCACAGAACATTATCAACAATATTTACAATAAGTAGTATCTTGGAACACTAGTACTAATCTGTATTTCTAGCTGAAGTAGAAAGTAGCAGCAAATTTGTAAAAAGTAGAAAATAGTTTTTCTAATTAGTTTTGTATTGGCTCTTCCTAAAGCCTAAAGCTTTTACAATATTTTGCAATGTTTCTTTACTGTTATGTTCATGACCCATTTTGAATTTTCCAGCGATTTCTCGAAACGGCTCTTAGCTGCAAAGTACGGTGTTGCAGAAAGATGTCGCATCGTTGCACAGTAAGTTTTCAAATACTTCTATGCTAATCGGTCATTTAGTTGATAAATTTTTGTTACGACACGTTAGCGTTGAGAGGCTTGATTATACTAGCTCTATTTCTCGTAGCTGTTTCTCACAAAACTGTTTCTCGTAACTCGTAACTTGAATGACTATTTTGTCTCCAATGCCTCGGGAACGCAGAACTTGTTATGATAGCTCTCAAGTCACGTGTCAAGTCATTAAAGGAGAAAGCATTCTCAAATGATTGTAATAAAAGGCAGCAATGCCCAATTCTCGTAGAAATTATATACTGTGAGTGTACTAGTACCGGACACCTACTAATAGCGAACACCTCTACACAATAAACAAGACTTTGTCCAATAACTCCATCTTTTCTATTAGTACCAAGTATAAGGCTTGTACAACTGAAACCTGTTATAGGAAGTAGCATTAGTCTGTTTTGGTTTCAATGCGAACAATTTTTTATCGAAGTTAGAAATCAGCAAACATTTAAGGAGCAGGAGGTTTTGTGCTGTTTTTCTGTTGAAGAGTTTAGTTCATTTTAAAGAAGCTGTAGTGAGTTGTGCAAAGTGCGTTTCTCTCCTTCAAGTACCAACTTGTTTCTTCATTTCAAGAAAATCCACGTCTACTTTGTACTCATGTTCTGTCGTAGTAAGCCGTTTCTAATTTTTAAAAAAGTATGAAGCATCGCACATAGCAACGTGTCTCTACCTCATTAATGATTTTGGCCTTATCTCACTAGAATCCTTGGCGATGAACCAGATTTTATTTTTTGGACGGTGGCTTTTCACTACCTTAGGAAGGAAAGTGGCAAGAGGAATTGCCCATTACATAAGGTAGGTTATGCTTTTTGCACATCCAATTAAGAACCTGTGAATCAAGTGGTACGAACAAACCAAAGCTAAATATACTGAAAGGATATTTACCTGCCGGTTGCTTTCAACTGTTCGTCTGTTCCCTATGGTTTATTAAATGACTTTTGACTAGGATTATATTGTAGGGCTGTCCAAACCTTCGGATTTTCCTATTCGGTTATTCGGTTTAAAATTTAACGAATATTCAGTTATTCGGCGAATATGGGTGTGGCAAAATGGGCGTGGCAGGGTTTGGGTCAAAATCTGCAATCTGAAAATTTATTTTAATTTTTTGAAAATGACCAACAGCTAATCAGTCATTACTATTCGATAAGTCAGAACCATTAATTTTTCTTGCTTTCCTATTGAAATTTCCTGTGTTTCACGTAACTTCAAAGGGTGTGCTGCATAGCAAATTTCAAAACGATTTTTTAGAAAAATAAATGCTATCTCGAACCTTCCCTAGCATTAGTCGCCCCCAATAGACAGAAAGTGGGTATTAATTTAATGAAAAAAACAAACGTGATAACTTTATGACAACTAATTTTCAAAAAGGGTCGGTTTCCAACATTTTGAAAAGTGGAACGCTTTCTAGCATGGCTTCGATACAGGTTGGAAAGTGGGGGGGGGGAGGGAAAATTTAACACCCGTAGCAAAAGATTTTTTGAAAAGTTATTTTATTCGGAGGCCCTGTCTAGCACAAAAATTTCCCGAGGAAAAGCCCCATGACCCCCACCTGCTACCCACGCTCCACTCCCCCTGCCCCCTTCCAATCTTGCTTTATTGGCTTTGTTATTATTTCCTGGGTTTGCAAATTTTAAAGAAGGCCAGTATCCATAAACCTCTCTCAAAGAGTGAAGAAAGGAAGTTGCCATTCTCCTTTCGAACAGTCTTTGCTTTTCGGTTGGCAATTGCTATTCAATCAGTCACGGTTATTCGAATAGTCACAGCTATTCAATCAGTCACGGTTATTCGAATAGTCAACGCTATTCGATGAGTCACGGCTATTCAAACAATCACGGTTATTCGAATAGTCACAGCTATTCAATCAGTCACGGTTATTCAAACAATCATTGTGACCTCCAACAGTGAGGTTATTCGCCCTCATCGTCTCCAACCGAATAATCGTACTATCCGAACTATTCGCTTGTAACCGAATATTCACTTTGGGCTTCAGCTAACAGAATAGTGAAACAGGTAACCGAATACCGATTATTCGACCTTCGGTGGACAGGCCTATTATATAGAGATTTGTTTGTTATTTTGGATCAAACTTTGTCGAGCTCTCAATGGTAACACCAAATCACCAAAAGAAATCAGTTAATCATAACAATCGAAATTTTGGTGATTAAAAGCAATGCCTATATTGACGATTTCTTTAGTTTTTTTGCCAAATTCGTTCCAAATGCTTGCTTTTCTAAGTCTATTATTCCTTTAATGTATTCATGCATAGAAATATTTCTTTTAAAGTATTTTCGGCTATCTGTCAATGTTCCTCTTTATTGCCAATTGTATCGAGTTTGTAGTAATTTTTAAGTAATTCCTGTGTCACTTTCTGAAGTTTATTTTTTATTCAGGACATTGATGTTCTAAACCAAAGAAGATCTTCCTACAAGGACATTCTGTATGCAGATGGAACACAGGGAATTATGCGAACGGACTCGCATCCCGCGGTTTCATTACTCGATATCTCGGATGATGAGAGTCCACCGGGAAACTTAAGATCCCCAAACAAATGCACTTGCTATTTCGGAAAACTCGATTCTTGTTTTGAAATACTCTGTGATAACGACTTTTATCAGGTAAGTATGCAAGATTGCTTCAGATTTTACCACCCATTTTACCAATACCCACGCCTAGTCAAATCTAAACCAAAACTAAGGAAGACAAGATTAAATAAAGCTAAACAAAAATGGACCAGCATAGTGTAGATAAAACTAGTACAGAAAAAATACATAATATTGTATTCAGTTTTTTAATGAAAATTTTGTTTACAAAAATTATTAAGGTGAGCTAATTGATGATTATACCAAGGAATTAACAAACATGAAGGAAACAGTCTGTCCATTTAATAGTTTGATAATAATACTGAATGGGATTGGACGGTTGAAAATTCAATTTACTATCTCTGGCCTTTAGTTTTAAAGTTTAAACTAAGCAAACAATTTACCAGGGGCCCAAATACATTAATGTACATCAGAGGCTACGAACATATCTGCTTGTAAAAATGTCTACGTTCATAATTAGCCTTAAACGTAGGACGAATTTTTTATCATCTATGCCTGTAATTTTTACTTATAGTCTTTAAAGCAATCATATTGAGTCCATGTAATTCAGTAGAGATCATATGGCTGGCCTCATGCCCTTACTTACTTAGAGATTGCTGTAATTTTCTCAGTTTAATAATTACGATGATCATTTTGATTTTTAGAATTTGCAACTCTATCGAATAGCATTGAGGGACAGCAAAAGATCAACACCAGAGCAAAGCCGAGTTTGCGCGGGAAAGCTCATATTGGTTGGCGAGGTTAGTTATGCTCTAATTTGTTGTTGTAAAGTTTCTCAATTATCATCTACAGTATTGCTTTTTGTATAGATACCCCCTCTTTACTTTTGCAAGATGCGGTAGTTAAGAATAAGCTACTTTTGCTTTTGCTAGAAGGAAAGAATTTAGGGGTTTCAGAATTACCCTTCTTAGCACTGCCCGCTAAATATCACCGTCCGGAGCCTCCTGAACACCAATTTGGATAACTTGAAAAGAGACATGAGTACAGCCAATCATTTTCTAGCTTTTTTTATTTATCTTACAGACTGACAGAGCTGTTCAGATTTTACTAGAAGCTGATCCGAGCGACACGAGCTATTATTCAGACGCTCTCAGGTATGTGCGACTGCTCTTTCGATCTATTTTTCCCGAAATAAACTTAGCAAAAGATTCGAATTACGAATCCTTGGTCGCGCAAGTTCCTTCGTTAGTAGGCGGAGCATGGTCGACTTAGAAAGCTCTGAAGCTTCTATTATTAATCTATAACGTGTTTGGCTTTGTTTGCTATGCTGAACAAATGTTTCATCAGTCGTCCTGATTGTAAGCTAAGACATTCAAAATCCTCCTTAAATACGTTTTAAACAAGGCTTCGCATGGGCATTGTCTGGGTGTGGTAACTGAAATTCGTTTATCTCGAAAATCTTTCTCGAGTTGTCAGCCGCTAGAACACAACTTTTTAGATAGCTCTTTCGAATATCCGTTGCATCTTGTAGGGATCTGATTCAAAGACTTTTGCTGTGAGCGAGTTGGGTGAAATGCTTCAAGAAATATAATTGTGGTATTTGCCACCTCTAACGTCTCCATTGATGCTTTTTAGCATCATTGACCAAAAATCCCTTATATCGTTTTCATACCAGTGTATAAAACATCAGAAAAGGACATTTTTCGTGGTTCTGATTGGTCTTTTTTAATCCAGAGCTGAGTTAAATCTGATTTTTATTCCTTATTCTGACGTTTTGTGCTCTGGAAAGTGCTGGATGATAAGCGTCAGAAGGTCTAAAAATATCAAAATATCTAAATATTCTTTATTTCTTCACTGCAAGTTTGTGGTCTTTGAAACTAGCCACCTCTATTCATACGAATCCTGCTTACGAAAGAGTACTTTGAAATTAGACACTGTATCTGTGTTTATACTTAACACGACCTAGACTGGATCCAAAGAATCTTCCTAGTAGATTTTGTACTTAAGTTGTTTGCCATTGATATGTAGAAAAGATTATGCAATCCGCAGTATTGGATCTTCCTTATTTTCTGTTTACAAAGGGGAGTAGAAGAAGGCAGACCACAAGGACAGACTTAACTACGAAGTCTCCCTCATTGAGTTTCAGTCTCCAGCATTTAGCAGCGAAGGAACAAAAGAAAGGAGACAATAACTATTGATGTATAGATCTATAACATTAATGATATCAAGGGCAAATATACTTATTGCATTGAAAACTAGTCGAATAATTGCCATGAAATCTCTGATCAGAGGGCCTAAATTTGCCTTGTGTTAAACCTCTCAATGAAATGTAACAACGTGCCGTTTTCCTTCCCAACAGGGCTTGTTTGATAGCAACCGTCAGGTCATCAGGTGCATCGCAAAGCACAATCAAACTAGTTGCTACTAATTTGATAGCCAATGGCAAACTTGCAGGTGATCAAGCACCACTTTTTTGATATCCAACTTACTTTTAAATGTTTTGATTCTTACTTACTTATTTTTTGGTTATATTTATACATCCTTAAAACCTTTTAACAATCTTCTTAACATTTTCAACCAGGAAAGCCAGATTTCTGTTAGGCACAGGCAGTTCGGATTGACATTTAACACCAATTTAGGATGTGCTTACTTTTCATCCTTCAATTTTAAAGCTCCTTGATCGAGTGTAACAGTTATTGCGATCTTAATTTGGCTCTTGAGGTGGAAAAATCGTTTAGAAGATCTTATAAACTTTGTGCATTTCTTCTGCATCTTTTCTTCATTAGATCTTCACAATAGTGCATGGCCGTATTTGTGAATTTTAACTTTCAAAAGACAATTCCGCCCTCTGTAAGATTACCACTAAAATGCTACGTTTAGACGACTATTTTGTACACCATTCATCACGCCGACGCTTCAAAGGTATTGTACCATCTCGAAGGAGCAGTCATGGTGCATGAATGTTGTTATCGAAATTGTTTGTGTTTCATGTGGCGAATGGGATTGAGTCGGAATTTAATCAACCACCATTGAAAACTTCAATGTGCCAAAAAGTGCTAAAATTCAAATGTCTTCAACAAGTCAAGAAAACTGCCTCTATTTTTAACAAGGTGGTGCAAATTTTTTTAATAGGCAGTGTATGACACATAGCTTGTTATGTTGCCGTTTTTCCATGCTATCTTGAAGTTTTCCGGCACCAAAGACCTAATTTATTCCTCATCCCTTCCAAATCTGTAGCCGCATCAATCCTGTAAGGGACTTTGCAACAATAACTGCTGTCCACATTTGCCCTTTAATAGGTTATCAAAACTATCAATATCGTTTTACGTCAAGGATAAGCGGCCTATTGAGTTGCTTTTGTTTGATAATGGCAGTCTTCATTCTAGTCTTCATTTAAATTTGATAGACATTTTACCGATTTCCCAAGTCAGTAATCCTCTTATTCCCTGCGGGTATCTGCAGGATTTGGCTCTTTGCTAGTTTAATATAATTAATCTATTTTTATTTGCAGAGGGAGTTGAGCTTTTATGTTTAGTAGATAAGGGCGTCGAGGCATGCCGTTACTTGCAGACGTATGGGGACTGGGAATTAGCCACATGGCTAGCAAAGGTTCAGCCATTTTGAATTGTAATCTTTGTATATATATATTTTGTTTTACTTTAGCTGCAAGGCCTTTTTTCTGTTAAGATATTTGTAGTTCAATTAACCGCCTTACCTTCAAATTTGTGGCCAATTGTTTCTTTGTCTTCATGAGTAAGGTGCCAACCTCAAATTAATTGCAACTTGATCTACCAGTTTTAGTTGAAATATAATATTTGCTTCATTGAAAATTGAAACTTGATCTTAATTACTTTTAAATAACAATAGCATCTTAATCAAGGATGCATTATATAATTTAGCTACTTAATTTTTTTTTTATTACAGAAATGTGAGTCGTCGCCAAAGTTAAGGAATTCATTTAATTTTTTTGAGCAATGGTAAAAACTGCAAAAATTTCTGATTTAAAAAGCTGCATAGTTTTTGGTATTTTAAAGACAAGTAATAGAGAATTCCCAAAACCTTTAGAATTATGTATGTTTTATAAGAAGAGGTTTTAACGAGGTTCGTGCTAACTAAAGCTGTTATATTCTGATTCGTTTTTCCTCCAGTCAAATGATGAAATTAAAGTAAACTGTTTTTATAATACTCCGTTTTCTTTAGGTAAGTTTGTCGCAGCAAGACTTCGCCAATGTCATGCAACGTTGGGTGGACCATTTGGCATCGCAGCATATGAATCTAAAGGTCAGTAGCAACTCGCTATAAATAAAAGTCACAAGAGGCAGTGTATACTCAAAACAAGATAGAGTTTTGTGGTTGAATCCAATTTTAACGGTTGTTCATATTCAGCTGTAAGTAATAGACAAATTCAGTGTGTTCTTTCATGTTCTTTCGGTCATATCTTGAAATGAGGATATATATGCTTATATTTTCCGATGTAAATAGGGATGTAATTATAATATTATAACATTGTGTGTTGCTTTTCTCTGTAATGAAATCGACTGGTTTACTGTAGGAGTCATTTTTTTGTCATCGGATATAAAAATAACTCTGAGATTTTCTAATCACAGTGTCACTAATGTTTAGTGCCCAATTTGCTGAGTGAATTTAAGAACGGAAAGACAACAATAAGCGAAACACAAGTTGTTGAAGGAGTCCAGCGAGAAGTACAGCTTTGCTGGTATCAAAATATTTTAAGACATCGCTACTAGGTGAAGAAACCAAATAGGTTACTAAGAAGCCTTCTAGTTATGTTTGCTTCACAGTGCTAATGGGAGCTCTTCTTTTTGTATGTTTCAGTTTCTAAAAATGGGACGTACTAAATGAAAATCAGACTTAGAAAGAAATAAAAAAATGTGTCAGTTTGATATCCTAATAATTTGGTTTTTTCTGTCTTGTTTCGTTCAGTAATTCAATTATAACTAGTTTGTCCATATAATATAACAATTTCTTCCCTGTACAAATTTTAGGTCTCTACCTACTACTGTCACCCTATACATGACATTGACAAAAACATAGAAACGCAATAATGAATCAGACGAGATAAATTTCATTTGTTTAGTTACATTTTTTCGACCTATAAATGAATTTGAATCTAGTCAATTTGAAATCCGCTTTTAAGTTTATTAACAATATTAGCCCAACCCACCGTTATCATCTGAATCTTTTTTTTTATTGTAAAAAACATCAATCGATTCATTTCCCCAGGCAGAATTATCATTCAGCTTTTTCAGATATGCTTTAGGCCCTATAACATCTTCAACAATAGAACTCTTATCACATTTGAAGTTAGCAGGCCGCTAACCTCTTTAATGATTTTTGAGATTATTTTCTTTGACCCTGAAAACTATTATCTTTAAAACTTTAGAGTTTCGATTCAATTTCGTTGCATTATCCTTTTAGAATAAAGCAGTTTTGGTTTTGCTATCTCTTGGTGATTTTCCAAAGGCTTTAGAGATTATGTACAGGTATGAGCTCTTCATTTCATTTGTGCGTCATGCATAAAAGTAAACTTGCTGCAAGTCTTTTTCGTGCTTGAGACGGTAATCGGTTTTCGTTTTCTTCTTGTGGACCTCTGCGAAGGAGACGGACGGAGAAGGTAAAAGATAAGGGTAATAAGGGTCTTTACACATTGAGGGTCAAATCACACTTCAATTGATGTATCAATAGTCCATTGTCAAAAATCACAACGTGTACAAATATAGGCAAGACAGTCTTGCATCTCTGCAGTCGTGTATCTTTGCCTTCGTGCATCTCTGCAGTCGTGCATCTCTGCAATCGTGCATCTCTGCAATCGTGCATCTCTACAGTCGTGCATTTCTACAGGTTATGTATTTCTGCAGGCATAGGCCTCTGGGGGTTGCAGCACCTTCAATCTCCCACATTGTACACTTATGCTATTGTGTATCACTGTATCTCGACCCTATTTCTCGTGATCATTTTATACGGGGCATGCAAGCGGCATTCCTTTATAGAATTTTGTAGTGAATCATTTGTATCCAGGCTGGGAGAACCATTTACACTAGTCGTAAGGTCTCTAACCTGGTCATACACTGCACGACCAAAAATATGTTGCCAGGAATTGCTTTTCGTTTCAACTGAAAACCACTGTGAAATGTTAAACCACTTTCTACTGCATAAAATGACGGCAGAGATTTTTGAGATTTTCGCTAAATCAAAATTGAAAATATACACGACTTTTAACATTCGTTTTTGTTCCACTATGTGCATACCACTTGAAATTTTGAGTTGATTTTAATCCTTAGGTACATTGAATTTAAATCCCGCGTGAAAAATTCATTTCTTATTCTTTCATGTAAGAACATGCCTACGGGTGACATTTTAGCTGCCTTTTATTACTTAAGAATATTAGCAAACCCGGGGTGGTCATGTCTTTTGGTTTCTTAGAAAATGTGGGAACTAAATCCCTGGTTTAAATTCACTAATGCGCTGATCAAGATTTAGTGAAACGACTGTTTGAAAAATGAGTATGCATGAAGTTTGAAAATAATGTACTGTGTTTTCATATGAGACTCAAATTGGGACGCCAAATGCAAAATATAACCTCTAAGACTGATAATGGGTAACCATGGGTAGGCATATCATTCTAAAGATTTTTCTGTTCCATGTACAAGCGTTTTTATTAAAGCGGTTTTAGTTGTGGCTTGTTTGAGTGAATAAATGTAGCGAAAAAAATCTCGTTGTTCATCTCCGATACGTTTTTATTAAGTTTTATAAAAAAGACCAAAATTTACCGAATAAAAAGTTTAACATCGACGTATGGTTATTCGTGCTCTGTTCGTCTTCTGCATTCAGCGCAACAGTTTTTTCATCTTTAGAAAAGTATTCTGTTGATTCTAGTCGACCTCAAAAATTCTAAATTTCTCTGTTGTTAGTTCAGTTTGAGGCGGAGATGGGGTTTTTGCCACAAGAGGTTTTCTCTATTATTTGCTGCTCCATGTGTCTATTACTTATTGGCCATTTTGGTTTACGTTAGAACGATAAGAACATTCGCTTTTTGAGACTTTACCAGCATGAAATACACTTTCGACCAGTGAATTTGAGCTTGATTTGTCACCCTAATTTTTGTAATTTGAAATGAAGATCTCGTTAATTATTGCAAAAAAGTGACGAATAAATTTGAAGTCCATGCTCCTTTTGCATCACGAATGTCCTAACTCTACTTCTTTACATATAAAGCGCAAACTTTGCACCCCATTTATTATAATTAAAGACACAATATTTGGAAAACTGAAAATAGCAGTAGTGAACAAGATTAGGCTTTGTCTAGGAATGTTAATTCCTTGTATTTCTTAGCTGATACATGTTTAGAAAACTTTTTTCTGTGTATTAATTCTCGGTATTAACGACAATGTGGGAAAATCACGGGAAATTTGAGTGCCAGTGTTGGATCTATAATAGACATATGGGCTCGGACGAAGATTAAGCACCCTTGAATGCTGGACAAACAGAATAAGCCCTGGCTTAATTATCCGTGAGAAACAGAAACTGGTTAGCAGTAAAATGAGTTAAGTTCTGGAATAAATTTGTCTGGAAACTAGATAGTTATCCATTCTGTGACAGGAATTGCGATCCAATCCGTGACAGCTAAAGCCAGTTTCGATTTAAGAGCTCTCTCTCTCCCTCTTACTAACGAGGGATTGTCTCTCTCGGCTGATTCCCATTCATAATTTCAGCTGTATATAGGTGAAATTTCAAAGGTGTCAGTTTCTGCAACTATGCTTCCTGTATATCCACATTTTTTATTTGATTACAAGGTGAGAGTTTTTGTCTTCGAATCACTGCTACCAGACAGTACACGTGTCACAACACGCTTGAGACCAGCTCCCTTACTGTCCCCATTCTTCTTTGAAAGCTATCTTTGAAATTTCATCTCTCGTGTGTGTCTTTCCAGTGTAGTGGAATTAGATATGAAAACGGTCTAACCCGGAAAAAAATAACATAAAGCTGGAATTTGCCACAGATGCTCTATACCATGTTGGAAAAAATCAGAAAAAAGCCCCATCAATTGGGCATTGGGAATTCCTTATTTGGGCAAATCCCATAATGGCTCACTGATCAGCAGGGGTTCAAGATTTTAATGTCGCTAAAGCCACTTGATATGTATATCTTTTGAAAGACAATTTCATACTTAACAACATTAATGTAACAGTATTTTTCGTAACAGCAAACTAACCAACTATCGAAAATGTCGAATTTGTCTTCAAAGACAGAGCAGCTTTTGTCAAGTGGTCCTGGAACGATTTAGATCTAGAAGGCGTCGAATGTAAACCGAAACAGGTCGACATTTCATGTGATTTTATCTTAAGAAGTATATTTCCTCGTTCTTGTCCTGACCAAATAGTCTTGGTTGGAGCCATAGGTCTTTCTTTTCAGCTGATTTTCTGGGATGTCTGAATTAAAATGAGTATTTGATCCGTGCAGATCTGTTCGTCGATCAATTCATAGTACGATTTGACCGCATAGTACGAGGTAATTCGTAACAGGGAAGCCTTTCTGTCTGAAAGGTACTTTCGTAAGAATGTTCACGTTACTGAGGAGATTTAGGAGATATATTTACCAAAGCACACCGTGACTTAGGTATCCAGGGATCGAAATATGATTAAAGAATAATTCAAAAACGTTACGGGTAAATATCGTTTTTAATCCAAAGCCTGTTTCCTTATATAAGTACTTTTGGATTACAAAGTAGCCTCGTTCTCTCTCGAAAGTCATTCTCATTCTTACAAGAGGGAGTTAAAAATATACCGAAATAAATAGAGAGCTGCACGAAATTAAAGAGGCTTGATTATATAAACCATATTTGATTTTAATACGAATTACTCTGTCTAAGGTTTAAGTATTCTTTTTCAACCTACTTTAAGGTAAATATCTCTACATTATCACATTAGACAAAAGGTTTTGAACCATCCCCCTACCCCCACCCTTGGCCTCTTCGTGCTCCTTTCAGTTCGTTTCCTTTTGCTTGTATATACTACCGGACTTCAGTGCCTTTGTGAAACACGTTAAGGATATATTCACCTTTTCGAATAAGGGCATAGATTTAAAGAAAAATCGGGAACATGTTTTATATAGACACTTAATTCACATGCGCCTAGAAAGAACATCAATTGTTATTGCCAAATTTTGCTTATTGTAATTGCGATCTTAATTGCTATAATTATACCCTACCCCCAGCTTTCTTTCTTAATCGTAGAAGCAGAGTATAGATTTATGATCCAATGTTTTTCCTCATTTAGAAAAGTCTTTGAAATACTGTTCTATTTAGTCTGCTGTGAAGGAAAGCGGTAGTTTTCAAAGCAGCATAGAGGCTTTTGGTATTACAAAGAACATCATTGCCGAAAATTTTGTTTAGACGCCGTCAGGAACCAGTTATTATCCCACGCAAGAAATCATTTGTCGTTTTATATCTTGTTATTTTGTTAAATCTCAAAGCTGTGCAGTCATGAATTGTTTCATTTAAAAATTTAAGGTTACGGTAACAAAACTACCAGGGTCATTTGTTTTTTAATACTTAGGCTTTTTATTCTAGCTACACACTTTTGAATGGTGGTTGATAGACAAAAATCCCGAATGAGGTGTTAGCTTGAAGTAAATGGCCTAGACGTTTCATTCAAGCCCGTTTAATGTCTGATATTATAGCTGTGTGACGTATGTCGATTCAATTCGATTTTATTTAGTCAAGCAACAAGTAACAATTGATTGCAGTATACGAAGATTAAAAAACAATTACAGGAAAGTAAACAACACAGTATCAACTCATAATTATTGGATCTACAAATCTATAAAGTATTACAATGCTTATTATTGCACTGTATATACCTCATTTGTTGCTTGGGACACTACGAATGAACGTATAGAAGAGCTATAGAGCTAAGTACCCCTGACATAATTAGCCTGGCTTACATATTTCTTTTAACGGTTTGGCGTCGTAGCACAAAGCTGTACCTGTAAGCTGAATAGTGTTGCAAACTTGAACAAAACTGTTGAGAGAGACTCCTAAAACACCTGCTTTAAGCATTTTCATTCAAGTCATGATGTCACTCTTTCCCAACCCCCTTCCTTCCAAAGTTAGAGTATATGTGTTATGACTACATTCAAAATTGATCTAGTAGCTAGGGTGCAAAATCCTAGTACCATCTTTCCTGGCTTTTAGAGTAACAGGGCATATTTGATAGAAACTTTGGACTATGAAAACATAAATGAACCAGAGCAAGCATCGTGCCCAAAAAAACTGCTGGTTTACAAGGGACCATGTATCTAAAATAACAAGAATTAATAAAATTAATAACATAAAATTAATAATTACAATAGGGTTTAAATAATACCTTGCACTACCCACCCTCTTCCGACTTTATCCTACACATATGGGTTCGCAATAATTTCCTTTACAATATTTCCTTTCCTAGTTCCTTTAATTGGTCAAATTCATTTACAATGTTGATTGGATTGTTTGAAAGTCTAGAATATAATATCAGAAGAGATGTTTTCAAAGCAAAGTTTTGAATCAATTAGCTTCGATATCTAGGCTATTCCAAAGTTTAGCAACCCTACACGAGAATGACTTCTGCCTTTTGCATGTGCTTAGGATTATGAACAAGACAGGCTTTTTCAGTGAAATGCTATTTCAACTGTAATTTACTTGCTCTGTGACTATACAAAGTTGAAGAATTAGTATATGGTTAATGTTGCTAAACAGCGCAAGTCGTTAAGTAAACTAATGTATCTATGCATTATTTTTCATAAATGTAGGAGGAATGCTAGGAGGAGGGCTCTAGATTCTGTCTCTGCCCTTCTTTATTGGCTTGGCTTTCCACTTTATTGAATAAATGTACACTAATGCACGCATAAATGCTATCAATTCTAGCAAATTTAACCAAGTCGATTATTTAGAACCGTTTAATCGACTTGTGAACACAATATATTGATCCCAATCCTCTACTTCTTGTCATGCAGATGCGAAGAGATAGAAAACCTGGCGCCCTTCGATCTAAATCTTTAACCAAACAAGCTGATTAATCTTTTAGTTGCAATGGCAAATTAAGAAACATAGTTGGTAAAGAATTCTGTATTCGGTGTTATATTGTCTGGAATGCATGATGAATTCCCTTTGGTATGACAGAATTATTGCAAACTGTTTTAAGTTTTGGTGAAATTATTTAATTCCGGAAAAGGTTAGGAATGAAAAGACACCGAAAGCCGAAAATGCCCCCAAGGGAAGCACTGAAACGGTTCGTAATGAAGAATAAAGAAAGGGAACAATGCGAATAAGAACAGAACCATCTTAAAAGAGTGAGGAATGTCCGAATGTCCGAAGGTTATATATTGAAAATGTTTTAAATCTCATCAATTGAAAAAGGTGCTCATCAGGTTGTTGTAGTTGTTATTTTAGTTGTTGTTATTCTAGGTGTTAGTGGTAAAGAACTTTCTGCCAAATCGCTTGCATCCCAAAAGTTCTGTTGTTGCCTGTCACAGAAATGAAATGCCTCAACGATAGTCTCGATACGAAGATAGTCTCGTTTTGAAGTTCAATGCGATGTCAAAAAAGCTTTTTCTGACAGCATCATTACAAATTCCTTCTCTCAAATTTCATGGATGGCAGGCAGTCCTCTGTTACGATTTTCTACCTAGAAAATTTACCCAATTCTATAAGCTACTGGCTACATTTTAATGAATGTACATATCGAATTAAAGCAACAACGTTTATAAAAGAAGCTCTGAAATTTGAAATTGCATACCATAACTTGTATGATTTCTTTTTTCAGCCTTGGCCAAATCAGTCGAGCTGTGTTATTCCTGGAAGCTTGCATTGAATTTAGTCTTCTTTCACTCAGCGAAGAAATGCATCGTATCCTTTTTGAAATAAAATAAATAATGTGCAATCTTTGTCCTTTTAAACGAGAAGAGAAGCTGTGTCGCCATGATGTACATCTTTATTAAAGTCTGGACAGCTTTCCTGTGACATGACAGTTCACTTTGTCAAATCTGGTATTATTTGTTAAACAAATGGAACCAGCCTATTGAATGTAATGCAAGGAAGAATTTATATTTCTGTTGTTTTTATAGTTTGTCATATACAGACCGGCGTGCAGTAGCTGGGGGCAGGGAGAGGCTACAGCCCCCTTCAAGTACCTAAGGATTATTCTGCTCAGTTGTCAGAACTTTTAGGAAAGTTCCATCTTTAACCCCAATATATGTAGCTCCAATTTCATCCCTGTGTGCAAGGAACATAAGTTTTGGGACCATTGTAATAAGAAAGGTTTTTAATCCCTCGGTATTTTTTTCATATCATATACGATGAGTTTGCCATATAATCAATGCTTATGGAATTTCTACTGGTATCCATTGCAATACTGAAGAAGTTTAAGGAATGAGTCAGCCAAAATTTGCCCGAAACGTCTGAGCAATGCTAAGGTGGAGATGAAAATCCAAACATTAACAATGCAAACATCAAAATAGTGACATTGGGCTGTTAGTTATGAGTCAATCATCTTCACCAATCAGTCCATGCCAGGTTATTCTATACTTTAGGTGCCTTGGAGTTCACTAAAGCGGTTTTCCTCGCGTCATACCATGCTCGTCATACTTTGCAGTTGAATCTCTTCATAAAATACGGACTCTGTAATCCTTTCCAGCCGATGCGAGTAGTTTTAAATCCCTTTCAGATTTATATCACGTATTATGAATTCTTGTTGTCTTCTATTTATAGAATATAGACTAGGCTCGGTTTTTGGTTCCCACTTTGGGAGAATCGAACCTCTTTGAAGCTTCATCCCACACACGTCTCACAGTGAATTTGCGATAATTCTGCTTGGATTATTGCTAAGTCAGTTTTGTTATCAACCACAGTTAGAAGTCCTTTAATTGTCAGGACTTGTTGGGAATTCCTTATTGCATTCTCGTAACCAGATATGCTTGACAACGAGGCCTGCTTGGGAATAGTGTTTGAGCTGATACTTGCAAAGTGACTTCCATTTGTGCCACGTAGATTAACCCTTCTTGACACCTGACAATCCAGAAGTACTTCCTAGCCATCTTCTATTTGACATAACAGGTTTAATTTAATATAACAGGTTTACTTTGATATAACAGGCTGGTTAATGCCGTACTTCCTTGGTACAGAAAAGTACTTCAAACTTGCAATTTCTCTTCGCCTGTTAGCTCTCACTTTTGTGTTACGATGCTTGCCAAAAGTACTTGGAACACCCATTCAATTTCAGCCGTTTCTTGATCTGTTTCCATTTCACCCCTGAAGAATATGCTGAATTGCCCCTTTACCCCCAAAGCGATACTGGAAACGAGTAATCAATGTTTCAAAAATAAAGGTTACATTCGAATAGCGTGTTCGTATGGAGATGGGCCGAGCGTTGTTTTGGAAGGGAGACGGGGAACAGCTAAGTGTAAATCTCTAAAGTGTTGTTATTGTTCCAAGACTTTTGGCAGGCATTCCCTTATGTTTCAAAGCAACTCTGATTCGGGGGAAGGAGGCACATTAAATGTTTTGTGCAATTTTGAACAATTTTGGGTACTCGATTTTGGCATTTGGATCGTGACTGGGAGCAAATATATCAGTGTTTTTCGCTTTTGCGAAAACTGTACACAGTGTCGCGTGTGAGACAATATTTCTCGAAACCTGAATTTTAAAAAACAGTTGGTTTTGGCTGGAACTTGAATAATTTTTCAAATCATACCTTTGTAGTATAAATATGTCCATGACTTTATTCCTTAATAAATTTTCAGGTAATTTGTATGAGAACATTTTCTTAGAGTATGCTCGCTTGATGCATAAACTCGGGCTTAACAAAGCAGTTGGGTATTATTGCAGTAAGGCTGGTGGTAGAGGGAGAAAGCTCCTGGAAGATCTCAGCGTTGGAACAAGCCCAGTTGTTGAAAATAAAACTGACCTACACGAAAGCACGAAAATTGAAAAGGATGCTGATAGTACAGAGAAGGACCTGGGAATTGCAAAACCTGACTCTGGAAGCCAAGAAAATGATATAACCGATACAAGGCAAGATTTGGATGCTCAAAAGTAAGAGTTTTTGATGTTTATTTTAGGTGCGTGAAGAAAGAATGATTTGTGGGTTTACGTTTTGCGATTATTCATAGTAGGGATCTGATTTGTCAAGAGCTGGGACAAAATTCTTAATGAAAATGACTTAAAATAGTCAAAAGAAACGCTGAAATGTTAGATTAAGTAACCAGGCCAGTCCTTGGAATGCTCTCTTCTTGATAATAGTAGATAATATAACGAAACTTGAATTGAAGTTTTCCTGGTTTTGGGGTTGCAGTCTTTATCGAAGAAGTTTAGACAGATGCTTATCCACATGGCTGCTTCGTTGCGTCTGTATTACAACCTCTCAAGAAACCAACCAACCTTTCCCTCCCACCTCCCCCCTCCCCTCACCCTCCCCCTCCCCCTGAAAAGTGAAATTTAGGGAATATGCATTTAAAAAGTGTTGATATAGACCTCAACACTGCTTATGATTGTGAATATCGTACTTCTTGGTTTTGATAACACCAGATTTAGTAACGGATTTGTTCCCAAGAAAATGGTTCTTTGAAAATGTCCCATAGCAGGACCCTTATTATAAAATTGCCACTCCTCAGACGGTGTTAGGGATATCGGATTAAGTTTGGACACGGACAGAGAACTAGCTCAATACTATCAAGAAAGCCCTCCCGTACAGTAAAATATACTTTAATACAACACTTATTCAAATTCACTATCTATAGATTATTGGCTTTCAATGAACGAGCGCAAGAACCTAACTCCTAATGGATGTGGTTTTGAATGAGAATCTAAGCGTGCTGTTCACTCGTCTTAGCGTTACTCGCTCATGGTTTAATTACATTTGACAATATGAACGTAAAGGATACCCAATCTCTGTGCTATTCAAATTTTTGTTATATGTAAACTTGGAACACGAGATACTTGCCCTCTCACATGTCTATTCAATCTAAAATGAATTTTCATTCCGTTCTTGTTATGTCATTGTATCTCTAGTCCTTATTTGATCAACAACAAAGTTGCAACTTAATCCCTGTACTTTCAGTAGTTTCTCGGTATAAAGCAAGTCCCAATGTTTTTTCTAAATGTAAATTGTTGATTTAGATGATTAGATTTTCAATATATAATTTATTGATGTCTTTTTACGATTAACTATATGGTACATTAAGCGTGCCCTGTTATCAAACATATTCTAAATTCGATCTCTTTGATGTGCATGTTTTCCAACAGCCCTAATCTATCACTAAGGAAACATCAGACTTATTTTTCACTGATTTTCCCATCGTGCTTTCTGAATCTCTATTTCATAAGGAAATAAAGTTTATTTATCCTTGTATTGTTATACGAGATTCAAATAGACCGAAGACAGGCAAGTCATGTGAAAGAGAAAAATTGGGGGTGGTGCATGTGGGCATGTTTCATCTGATGCAAGAATCAATGAGTGGATTGACTGAGGCTTCAGCAAACTTAGTCTTTGATCTGCAGAGAAGTTCACATCCCCCAGCTCTACGTTGACAAACAGTTTGCAACAAAACAAAGAATGGGATCGTGTTCGTGACCTTCCTTCACCTAGCCAAACTCCTTTGGATGTTCTTCGATTTTAATAACTGCCCTGAAACATATAATCAACCATGGTTTTAGTATCCAAGAGTTAACCTTAGAATAGATCCGTTCCCACCTATGGCCAAGAGAAATTATTCACGGTAGCACCCCTGTTCTCTATAGAATCTTAAACAAACCTTACCGAGTCCAAATTTTCGTAACGTTTTCTGCTGTCAATTTAGGCATAATATTTTTTGTAATAAAACATCGATCACAATATTTAAATCATGGTCAGGTACGTGTGATCTTTCCCGAATAATATTATTGGTTGCCAGCAAAAGGAAGATTGAATAAAACCTCAGATAAGGGACACTCCCCATTAACGGAGACGTCTCAGTAACGGACATTTCATTAACGGACTCTGGGGTCAAAACTTTGTACATGTAAATCTCAAGAAGCAGATACTTCCTTACTTCGGATGGTATCTCTGACTCTCAAGTGTCCGTTTTAAGGATGCTACAGTGGACAATGCAGCTAAGTCATTGAAATTCTCTGGGAAGAACAGGCTGTCAATGAGGTTCTAAATCTGAGCAATAAATACAATGACTCACGGCCATACCCAACTAACTGGGAAGAATATTGCTAGATACTGATGCTAAACGTCAAAACGATTATTCTTCTATCCGATGTCCAACGTTTTTCAAAAATAAGGAATTTAGGAATCTTTTTTGCGAATTTGGTAAAATTTAAGCTCAGTTTATAATTCGAAGATTTTTTTAGCCTCTCTCTCTCCCCCCGACTGGCACCTCTCTTTGCTTCGAAAGCCCATCTTTAAAACGTTTTTTGGCAACGCTTCAGAATTTTTCGCTGGTAGGGCGCCGTTCAAAGAATATTTATCAATGTATGTATAGATAGACAAGGGTATTTAGACAGTCCTCTTCTTTTATTCGGTAATATTAGAGAAAAACCCGTGATCCTATATCTAAGCCCTGACGGGAGAAAAGAGGGTGGATTAGGAAGAGAGAGAGGCAGGATCAAGATTGATTTTAGTATTAATCTTGGAATGGCAATTCTCTAAAATCGGGAGGGTAGAATGACTGAAATTTCACAGTACACCAACTTTCCAGGCAATGAATCAAACGTGTTTGGATGGTCTTGGATCAAGATTTAAATTGTTTTTGTTTTTGGAATGTAAAATGTTACAATTTCTTGCGAGAAGGCGACCTTTTGAGCTTTTATCCAAGAAAATAAATACCCACGAAATGGCAAGCTACTTAACTTGATTTCTAAATATTGCTTTTGAGTTCATGATTCCTTTTTTTACCCCAGAGGTATTTATTTTGACTATGTAAGCGGTGTAAGCGATTTCATTATTTTGCAGGAAATCACGAAATTTCAGCATCGCAAATTATTTTTAGTTGATACTCGGATAAGTTTGTTTACTAACAGTTAAAATGACAATAGGACGAGACTACGAAATTGAAAACGCAAATCTGTATACGGAATCTTTTTTGTTCTTTCTACGAAGATCCTGTTTTATTTCCTCTTCCTGAAGCTTAAGCTGTTCATATGCTGATAGGGAGATAGTTCTTATGGCACTGTATCGAAATATTATTACATAGAAAGTAACTGTATCTTCAATACCATTCATTTTTTCTTAGCGCTCATCCGCAAAGAGAATTTAAGCATAGGAGAGAGAGAGAGAGAGGTCATCTGCATTGATTTTCGTCCCTCTCTCCCCACCGCTGTCAAGAAGGGCCAACCGAGGGGCCATTAACTCTTGTAAATAACTTACGAAATTTCTTTCAAAAACAAAAGGGATTTTTGGGATTTGCCGATAAAGCAAAAGAAGTTTGACAAAGATGTGCTATATGTCCATGGAGTGTTTTGTCCCTCAGGGCCATGTGGTGGAAACACACATCAATGAAGACATGACTCTGCAGATACCCAAAATTATTATGATATAAAGTGTTATGACAGCATCATACTTGACTATTTGGATCGATTCTTCGTGGTTTTATCTCTTTTCATCTGTTGCTCGTTAATTTATTTATCCCTCTGGATAGGCCATACCTTGTTCATGATCATTCAATTTTACATTCAACCCTCGAAAGTATCAAGACCCTTTAACCAGACCAGGTTTTGTGGGAAAAAGCTTGAACAGTCATTTGCAGTACATATATCTCTATAAATAAGATACGTTTTTATATCATCGCCTGATCGAAGAAATTACCTGTAAAAAGCTAGATATGAATGTACTCGTAAATTGATTGTACTGATTCCACCACAAAGAGGATCGATAGGTCGTTATGGCTTTCAACGATGGACTCTCTTTTGCAGGTGTTTAAAGAAAATTTTGTTAGCTGTGTTCTTTTTATAGACAAGCTGTGGTTTCTATTAATTACCTTCCCGTGTGAGAAATGTCTTCGGAGTGTGGAATACAATACGGGCTTAGGAGCTGTGAAGACTGTGTATAAATGACTTGGAGATCTTCTGAGATCATCAGTTCACTAAGGAGACTGGGATCGAAATACGTCACGCGACCATTCTCACAAGCTGGGCTTTTAGTCGCTGAAAAGGTGTCGGCGATTATTGCAAATATGCTTTTGTAACTTCGTCATGCTGATCATAGGTTGCGTTGATAGTTTGCTCATGCTTGCTCATATGGGAATATTTCACCCCGCCTACTGGAATGATACTGTAAGTGAGACCGGTTTTTAGCTTGGTTTCATATCAAAAGATTCCGTTCGGCTTGCCGAGAAGAAATTAAACCTGTGCCCAATGCGTGGATAAAAACTTGAAAATAAGCCTACGCATAGGCAGTGAAGACTATCTCATCCCGGGCTGTGGTTACCACATGGAAAAATCTCACTACTGAGATCTCACTTGTACCCTGTCTACTGAGATCTCACTTGATGAAGCCAAGATCTCGATAGTCTGACCAGCATTTCTTACTTTATGAAACGAAAACAAATTTATAGGTGAAAATGTGATTAGACGAGATATCGGTTGAGTTCCTTACAGGTAAGCGGGATAAGACTTCCCCACGTGAACAGGCCCTTCAACTCCAAGTGATCATTTCTAAATGACGAATTGGTATTTCTTTCAACATATATTATGCTTCTGTTGAATTTTTGAGAAATATGGTGTTCATTAATCATTCTATATCGCAAAAGTCACAAGGCTGAAATTCTCGTAACATCTCCATTCTTAAAGAAAGTGCTTGAAAATATTGATGGGTGTCCAGAATGGCGTCATGTCAACCGTCATTAAAATAGGTATGATAATAATCAATTACGTTTAATTATGCTTTTCGAAAATATCGATTTGTTTCTTTTACGAGAAATACCGCGAGCGTCTGTCAATATAAAGTTACTCGAGGATCCGTAGAAAACTTCCTCTTCGAAAAGCCACCATTTAGCAATAGTGCGTATAACTGTTCCGCCAACGAGATGAATTTTTAAGCATTATGGAAAAATGAGCGCATGTTAAAAATCACTTGGCTCATTTGATGGCCCACGTGCCCCTTTGTAGAAATTGCCGGAAACAACTGAATACCCAAAGATTTCTTTCAGCTACTAGTCCTGTAAATGTTTTTCAGGTTAACGAGTACTTTTCACATGAAAGCCTTTAAGAAATTTTTAAAATAGATTTCCTTCGTCGATGATGGAAATGGTCTTTAGATTAAACGGTTTTTCATGAAAGTGTTCAGTAACCTGTTATTTCTGGACAATGAAGGCGCCAGCTACAAAAATATGGAAGGGTAATACGCATAACCCTTGAGCCGTTTCTGAGACTACATCATTTATGTACTATTTCATTGCTACAGTATATATATTCGATGTTTTTTTCCTCAGGCAAATCTTAGACAAACATGGCCTACTCCAACCCAATGCATCCTACCCACTCCTAGAATATTCATATGGATCTTGTTTTGACAACTAGGAACATAGGAAGCATTTACCCCTATCACCCACATGGCACCGTTACTGTTTGTTAATAAGCACAGGCTAACGTTATTGTTTATTTTTAAGAAAAAGATAATCACCATTAGACACTAACAAGCATGGTGTGTAGCGAAAAGCTTGGGAGATACCGAATCTTGAAGCTGAAAACAGACAACCTTTGACTATAATTACTTGTCAAGCTAACAGCGTAACCAGAGTTCTATATGAAACGTCTGTTCCTACTTTCCCAGGTCTGGTAGTCATATATTTAAAAATTATGGCAAAGAATGAATGAACTCCTTCCTCTAGTGACAACTTTTTGGATAATTTGATTAGGTTGTCTATATGCCATCTCGTTATACAGAAATACTTTTCCACGCTAAATCGAGTGAAATTCCGCAATACGGCCAGGTCGTTTGAGAAAAACTGTGCGGTTTCCTCCAGAGGTTCCATAGACAGTACTGTCCTTACTAATGGTGATTGGCTGGTAATTCGATGTCGCGCATTATGGTACCTGAATCGTACTTAAAGGATCTTAGGAGAAAGCTGCAAAGCCAGAAATAGTAGATAACATATGTCTTACGTAGCTGAAATACAACAGTCATGTCTAGAATCACTTGTGCAATGTGATGGAAAGTCAGTTCTTCAATGAAAAGTCTTGCAACATTTAGGGCAACAGGCGTGAGGCGAAAGACGTTATTGGATGGCCTTGTTGTCTAAGAAGGTTGCCAAGGTATTGGCTTATTCTCAAGATCCCTCCCTGTGAGTCTGGGGTCTGGCCGACCTCGCAATTGGCAGCCATTGCTGGCATCACTCAATATACATATATACAATTTAGACCCAACGTAAGGTCAGAAGGAGTGGCAAAGACGTTCTTGATATATGAAGGATACAGTGAACGGATTGAACACACAGAGGAGGTTAGTCAAAAGTTTATTACCAGAAATATCATAACTAACAGCGTATTAGTTGTGAGAAATGGCAGAGTAAACGTCATTATATAGATGAAATTTAATTAAAACTTTGCTCCTACATTATACTTGAATTTTGGAGAGTCAGATAAAGCAGTTTAACCTGATTTTCATCTTTGCCAATTGCTATACCTATGCATACATGCCAAGAGTATGGTTTTAGTATTCCAAAACAGCAACATTCCTACAGACTCAAAGAAAGAGTGAAGTTTAAGTGTGGCATTTCAGTTTATTTTGTTTTCAATGGCCTTTTTCGCGCTCGTATTTTCGTTATGCCTATTCACTATGCTAAGCCCGTCCCTCGTAAACATAAGTTTTCAATTGCAGCTTCAATGAACTATGTTTAGGCTGATGCTAACAATCTTGCTAGCAATGGTACATATACTGAAAAAAATCAAAGCAACATCTTTAGAAAAATCTGGTCCCTCTTTAAACTCTTCAAACTTTGTTTGCATAAATGCAGATGTATCGCAGTATTATTCGCTGTCACTAGTATATATTTTCACTGCAATAAAATTTATGTTGTGTTCATATTTTCGGATTTTAATCAAAGTGATATTCCTTGCAAATTGACCAAAGACTGCTGCAATAGGAACTGGGGACCTTAACCTTGAATGGATCCCAAACTGCACTTACAGTCAGGGAATGAATCGATTTACTCTTTGTGTTTTGGATGTTGCGCCCCCTCTCTCCACAGAAGAAAGAAGCCCATAAATCGGTAATATGTTCCATGGTCCCTGAAATTAATAAGATAGTTACTGACAGCAATGGTGCAGTTTTGGCTTGAAGCTTAACGACATCTTTTCAATTTTGACATCTACCTAATAACAGTTCTCAACAATAAATGTAGCCCTCATAACTACTTTTTGAAATCCAAAAATTAGCCTAAAATTGCTCACTGTTTCACTTAATAAGCGGGAAGGTTCTCAATTAATTCGATGAAAAGCAGGACCAGGCTTTTTCTTTGTATAGCTACCGCAGCCATAAAGGGAGAAATACCTTTGTTCGACCCGCGTTATTCTCGCTTATCAAGCAATAAGGCAGGAATTTCAGGCGACCCATGTTTGTTTGAAACCCTTTACACGAAGCAAGCGGTATTGCCGTTAGTGCTTCGTGCAAAGACCAACGTTTGTCGTTGGTGGTTTTAGGCCTTAAAAGTATGTTTGGTACATGCAAAGCGACAATACCGTTTGAAGCACTAAAAATGCCTTATGTCACGTGACAATTGATTTGGTAGGATCGTGCTTCAACAGATCTTCTTCTAATCTTTTGGTATGACGTAAATCGGGAAAATATTCATCTTTTTCAAAGTTTAGCCTATATCTCCGTCAGGTTTTTGCTCTGACTAACTTCCTGTTTTTCATATACGCTTCAACCACAATATGTTTGAAGAACTAGTATGGTCGACGCATGTTCTACTATGGTTTTTTCAAAGGAGATCTTCTAAATAAAAGAACTGTACAAAAACATTGATGTAAGAAGAGTAAGGAGTCGGGGGTAACAAGACCTTCTCCAAAATCGCTTTGAAAAAAAGCAAGCATCTCACAACATACTACTGAAACCTCTTCGTCCGACACCAACCGACACCTCCTCAGAGGATAAAATGTCAGAATAAGGGTCCGAAAGAACACGATGGAAAATATATACCCAGCTGTCGATCGAAAAAGGCCAATCAGAAAAACGCAAGCAAATGAGCGGCATAGTTATCCAATCAAGGCTGCGTGCCTATAGAAAAATTAAGACCTTCTTCTCGCTCCAAAATCAAAAAGACACTCTTTCAGAAAATGGAGGTCGTTTTGAACAACAGATTTCAAAATATATAAAAATTAAATCAACCAGAGTTTATCCACAGTCGATACTTCTAACACATCATGCTTCACGACACATTTTCAATTCTTAATTTAGTGACCCATGGATATGCAAAAATGATTGTCTATCCCACCTAGACCCCCCCCCCCCAAATCTGCAGCACAGACTTTCATCATCATTTGTGAAAGCATTCATTTGCGGGTTCATTTGCATGTTTTTGCATAAGTACATAGAACAAAGGCATCCAAGCTACAAATCTGTCATGAAGGCGTCCTTGCCAGTCCCTGGGGGCCTTTTCAGGGAAGACAGAGATTTCTACCTCACTTGGCATGGCTGGTAACATCCATGGGATTGTCATGTTTAATATTCTGCAACGCCCCCATTTTCATAAAGACTTAATACTATCTATTTTTAACGTCTTACTTGATGAACTATTTGTATATTGAAAGAAAACTAACCAGGGAAAATGGCCAGAGGAGGAGGAGACTCTCTTCCTGGTATGAAAGAATAATTTCAGACCAACCAGGAAATTTTGCCAAACAGAAAACATTTCTCCCACTGCGTTCCAAAGTTAAGCCACAAACAATCAACTGCTACCCCTCTCTCTGTTAAGATCACCATTTAAGGGGGAAAGTCAGATGATTAGGTAATAGATATAGCCTAACTTTTTTCTATATTCTTTTTTACAAAATTTTTTTCCAATTCCAACATCTTAAAGTTTTACTAATACTTTTGCTTTACACAAAGACATCTATAAATTTTGTACCCTCGTATTTATGAAGTTATTTCCCTGTTAAGTATGTAAATGATCCACAGCCAGCTTGGGGAAAGCTTCATAGCAAAAAATAGTTGATAACATAATTGGTGCTATCCAATCGGCTGTAACAGTTCTTGATGCTATATAGTAAATTCATGTTATGTATCAATTCAACGCTCCAATTAAATCCCTAATGTAAGGGAACCTCCTGAATCCGAAGATGTCATCTTGTAGATTTTGGGTAACTGAACAAACATATGCCATAAATAGATCAGGGGGTCAACAGAACATAATCTATGACGTAATGGGCAATGACAGCGAATCATTCATTTGCAGTCGATTTTAACGTGCGAGCAATTAGCAATAAATCTTGAAAATAGATGTAATTAAGGGTTCTATGCAGCTGGAAGTGCTACAGAGAGTTGTACGCGATGAGAACCCACTAGAAAATAGAAGAACGGGGGACATTAACCTGACATTAAAATGGGCATTAAGAGCCTATATGCCGCAAAGCCAACGGAAAAGCCGCAGACATTCCATTGATAGCAGTTCAGGGGAAGCAGATTTCTGATCACACACGAAATTCGCGTTGTGTTGTTTGGCCATAGAAGCAAACGATAAACGATGAATTCCTTAAACTGAGAGCTCAGCGGATAATTACTGTCACAAATTCGCGTAAGTTTTCATCGACTTTATTTGTTTTTCGACATTTTCGCAAAACCACGTTGGAAAGGTTTTGTTACTTTTTATCATCGGAAAACTGGAAAACGTCTCAAGATCTAATCTGGTTAGTTTAGCGTTTTAGAACGATGCAACAAAAATTATCTTTCGCTGATTTTATCTGTGAGTGATTTTCACGTGTGAATGTAGCATATTTATCGTTAATTATTAAAGCTTTTGCAGCGAAGAAATTGTAACGAAGGCTCTGATATTAAGCAACATAATCCATGAACTTTTTTCCCAAAGACAAGAAATCTCATCTATGAATTTAGATATAAACCGTCTGTGCGTGTCATGTTTACGATTAAAGATAACAACATATTTTCGACTGTTGAGAGTTATATAAACAAAAGCGCTGTTGCAAAATGTTAGTATAAAGAGAAACAATTTTTCGTAAACTTTCGTTTCAACGCAAAACAACAAAAACCCCTGAGCAAGGCAGAAGTACTGATTGAGATCTAGTTTGAATGAAACATGAAATAAGACTTCAAGATTTCACTAACAATGCTCGTTCTCGATACATCGCCTAAAACCACAAACTGGGTCATTTTCTGCCCCGAAGTTCCAGTTCCTCTGTATGTTCGTTACTTTTGTTTGCTTTTGAATAAGGCATTGAATTAGTGTGATATCAAGAGGGCTTAATGTGACGAAGGAACGAGGAGAAACATATTCTTTATTTTGACATCTCTTTAAATCGTGCAAAAAGGTGGATTTATTGTCATTAGAGATTCAGCTAGAAATATCGAATGTCCATTCAAGCTATTTTGAGCCCCCAAACCCGCTCGAAACGTTTGCTTTGTCTCGTATTAACATCAAAAGGTGTTATACAATTGCATGGGAAGGATCCTTCAAACGGTAATAGTTGTATAAATTGGCTGTAAAATCTTCCAATGCTATTGATAGTTTACGTACCCCAACTTTCTTCTAATCAGTTATCTTGTCTAACTTCATGTAAAATTTATAGACAGTTGGTTATGATGGATGTTTTTCTAGTGTTCTTGAAATTCTAAGAAGCATACACCAAGTCTAGTTCCTGGTTGTATGAAGTAGTTAAGAAATCTGATGCTATATGAACAATTGCAAGAGAGGTCAAAAACCATCATAACTGACCTCTGTTAACTGCTGAAAGATTTCTTCGAAAAAAGGGTTGCATGTAAGCGTAAACCCGTTCAATTTTCTCGAGCAGGTTTAGAACGTTCGAAAATCAGAATATTTCTCTCTGCCACGTGCAAAAAACCCCCTATAGCAAGCAACGCTGTCCGTAATTTTTATGTTTTGGTCACCGTTTCGCTGAAGTTGATGATGTGCGAGAGCTACTAGTGTACGGGCGATGGTAGCATTGAATATAAACAAAGACGGTACTGTTTTGGAAGAAAACTCTATAATCTGCTACAATATGCACAATAGAGTGGTTAAAGGACGCCCACGATTGATATTTATTGTAAGATTTTATGTATCTTTATACAAATGAAGGGATTTGCAGGATAGAGAATTCGGGCAACGTCGTGACAACAAACTATTGCGGAATTTGTAATGTTTGCCTGCGTATGGACTGTTTTCATCCACTTGCAGCGCTGATCTCTGATAACAGAATCATACCCAAAGCTGCTTTCATGATTCTTTGCCAAAGCTTAACTTTCTTTGCAGTATTGATTTGTTGACATCCTTGTGAATTTAGGGCGATTCTTTGAATAAAAGGGCATCCTCCTACGGATCAGAGTGGGTGAGGTGTTCGGGGTCACATACTTCTGTCACATTTTGCTTGCTCCAGTTACCATCTTTTCCATACTCTCCATTCCCTTGGGATCATATATCTGCGAATTCTTTCGTTTATTAGAACCTAAATATCATCGCTTGGATTGCTAAGGTTTGAAAAAGTGACAGTATGTGACAGCTAACTGGATAATACATATGTTTAGTCTTTTAAGTTGACTTTTCAGATCTGTGCCTGGTTTTGTCGTCGAAATCACGATCTTTCTTGGTTCCAGCACCACAATGTTCTTGACACAAGGAGATAAGCGCTCCGTCGACGTGGATTACGAATTTGATAAGCAAGGAGGTCAACCAATGAGTGTCACCACAATCAAAATTTCCTCCAGCTCTTCAATAGGCTTCAATCAAGTATAAGTTACGTTGCCAAGATAGGGCAACGTATTCTCCAAATAAAAACACACATTGCACGTTTTGAATTTTATTATAACTAAACTGCATAGAGTTCTTTTTTACAAGACATTCAAACAGACACCTCCTTAGACACTCTGCCGTCAAAACCTTGTAGAAGCAGCCTCCTAACAATGGACACCCCCTTACAACGGACAACTCCACAGTGGACACTTCCCTACAATAGACACGTCTCTACGACTGATACAGCCCTACAGCATACACCTCGCTAAAGAGAAAGGAGGTTCGCCATGCTTTGCAGATGCAACAGCAGAGTTTGATGATATTGCGGAGCGTTATTAATCTATCCATTTAACTTTTAAGTTTGATAAGATACTGCGATGAATATAATTTGTACAACTAATATCGTTTCTTATGGCCAAAAGATTAATAGAATTAAGAAACATAATATATATTTCAGGAAAAGAAGACGACAAAGATGGCAATAAAAGATAAATATTGTAAAATAAGGGGAAAAAGTGGCTATTGTTGCTCTTTCGTCCCGAAGTCTATTTGGTTTTGTAAACAGGGAAGAAATAATTTCATTTTGCACTATGGCCTTGGAACAGATTTTGCAATCAATAGGCTTATTTTAATCTCAGTAAAATAAAACCCCTAATGTTACCAAAGTTACACAAGGATAAAGAGCATTGTATCGAAGGACCTCCGGAGCTCCAGCACAGAAGAGACATTGACTCATGGTACATGGAGCCGGGCCTATCTCACCAGTTATTTTGTTTCTAAATTTAGAAAGAACACAAAACTTTAAAGCTGATATCCTAAAACAGTTGAGCTTATTTTGTCTTGTGGTAGTATGGCCCTTGTGAAGGCTCGCGTCTTCTTTGCTTGTAGTTGTTACAAGATAAAAGTGTAAATCTAGCCACAATCCAGTAACTTAAACAGGCCACAATCCTGAAACAAGCACATTTTTCCTATTAAATAGCCTATCGTCAGTTTTAGCCATGAAAGCATGATAAATATGCATGACCTATAGTTGCACGGACTCCTAAGTAACCAAACATAGCTATGATCTCCAGGTTGAGTCGCATTTCCTAGGCTAAGGATTTCACCTTAAATAGAATTTATAAATATGCAAATCAGAAGCATGTCTATTGTTGTCCTAGCACCAACATGGGTGTCCCGGGCGAATGAATTATCATTGAGAGAATTTATGTACGAGAATTATGGTAACAGAGACTTCTCTACTTGCAAAGACCTAGAGAGAGTAGTGAAAGAGAAGCATTGTTGCAAAATTCACTCTTTGTAACCAACAAACGGTGTAACAGGACTCCGATTTTTGACGCAGCATTCAGATTTTCATCTTGGCCAAGCTCCACATCTTCTGACACAAAAAAGAGTGGAAAAGTTTCACAAGCCTCTATTTGAAATTTCTTGGCTTTTGTCTACAGATCAATCTTGTTACGATTTGGAAACCAAGATAACCCTTCTAAAATTCTATTAATTTATTGTCAGCTACTTTCGAGACAATCGAACCGTGCATTATGTATGAAAAGCTGTTCTAAAGGCAATGTAACATTAAAAGCTTTCTAATTCAAAGTAAAAAACTATAAGATTGATGTTTACACTTCTAATGAATACAGAGAAATTTTTATTTCAATTGACCCAGAATTTCCATGCGTAGTCTTGCTTTCAACGAGCATGGCAGAACCAGATTAGAAACAACACATAAGCAAGATGCTTTTGACTATTGAACAATTGCTTTAGTTTCAGAAAACCTCTGACTCGATATTAACGTGCCTGTTAAGCTAAACATGCCACCCAAATCTTTTCGCAGGGCTTTGTTATTTCATTTTATTTAACATGTCACCAAGGTTTCATTGGATGATAGCAGAAAGGATGCCGATTTGATAAAGTTCGTCGTGTGGCTTGCGAAGTGTGGTTGCTGAGGTACAGTTTGTCATCTTGAAGCAATGTTGTACGGTACGCCACAAGATAGTGACAAGATTTGTTAGTATTTAGGCCTTCCGAATGGCTTTAAAGGCAAAATGTGGAAAGCTGGAGATGGTTATCAGATTATTAATTGAGTGAAGATGACAAAATTGATTGAGCAAAGTGATCAGTACAGTGTCTGCATTGTCAGAACGTAAAAACACACAAAACACGTAAAAATACCAGAACGAGGTTCCAAAAATATGACTGCTTGAATCAAGTTTAAAATTTCAAGGGTTATCCTTATGCAGGAGTCTCTACAACTCTTTTCGATACATTTCTGTGTTATATAACGAGTGGGCTTTGCAGATTCATCTTATTAACGTCAAAGTTCATTCATTCTCTTTTAAGCCTTAGCAGCAAAGACGATTTCCTATTTCGACGAAAAATTGTAATCCTAAAGATTTGCAGTGTGTAACGAATACGGCACCTACTCAAACTATGAATACCATATGTCGAAATCCTTGCGTAACATCTTTCAAGGGCATATAGACATTTTCTATCATTTGTGTTTGAAAAGGTGTCTCTCTACCATTTTGTCAATTCATTCCAATTCGGGTTTGGGAAGTTGACAGGTATGGCGAGAGTATGTGCAAAAATCATCAACAGCTCACTGGCTAGCGACAGAAAACCACAATCCTTAGCTCTCTATGCATGATAATGCAGCCGAGAGGTATGAGTATACATGTGTGGTATCAATGCAATTTAGTGGTAATTGTTAATTTTATGCGCCTCATACAGTTTTGATCTCGTGCTGTTCGCGGTGGCAATAAATCTTCTCAAACATATTCCTTATGGGAAGTTAGACAATTCTGTGAAAGGTCAGCCCTAGTTATGATGCTTTGTTAACTGGAAGCTCTTCCTTTTCATTTAACATACGTTTTAAGCTAATTATACTATACAAGTATACCCTGTTCTTGAGCTTTGGTTGCTCAAGATTCCTAGTTGATAAAAGAGGTTTTAGAGAATACTTTTAAAACGGTATTGTTGGCATTGGTAGGTTGTTACATGGCTCTTTCTAACCCCTTAAAAAGCATAGACGCACAAAAGAATATCCGTTTAACTCTGGAAAACAAGGTGAGCTTCTTTAGGGTGGTACTTGACGGTGCCTCTCTTGTGTTTTCACTTGAGCGGCAAATCACTCCATGAAAATCTCGTCACCTTTGATGGAAATCCTGTTGTTTATATTCAAATCCCTGGAAATCCTTTTGTTTTTGTGGAAATCGTGTACACTATTTGCAAGAGCAAATTGCCCCCTCCTTTTCACAGAGTATCTTATTACCATCGATTGAGCAAGATGTTAAACCACTTTTCATTCTTAGAGAAATTTCAATTCCTTCGGATAGTTACATGCGTAATGTTTGACAACTTTATGACGTCAGGATACAAGATGTCAAAGATACTATCACAGATTAACAGCCTCCAGATAATAGTGTAGTGGACTGTGAATGAAATTCATTTATGCGATCTGAAATATTTTAAAGGCTTCCTTATGATATAGTGCAAAACAAACACGAACAGGTTCATGATCTTACGACGACGTTCGATTGACATTTTGCTTACTCGCATTGCATCATCTTTCTTTGTTAACTTGATCATACCCAGCTAACATTACCGAAGCTTTACATTCTTACTTTTCACTATAATTTCAGCCCACACTTCAAGGTACTTTCGATTATTTTTGGTATTTGACGTTTGGGAATTTCAGTAATTGACATGAAGGCGAAGAAGTATCAGGAACCTCTCGAAACGAAAGGCTTTAAAGAGCAGACATTTCGTAAAATAATATTCATCCCATCAGATGCCAACCCTTTCAAGCATCTAATAAACTTGGTAAAGACAGTATCGTGTCAAACCTGATATTCCTAATGGATTATGCCTACTTTGTAAACCTTGCGAAAATCCTCCCAGTTAAAAATAGCGCACTTGTCTAATAGCTCTTGAATGATGGGATGCCTCAAAAGATTATTGATAACTCTATACATCAAAAGATTATTGATAACTTTAGAAGGAGGAACCACCAGGCCTTCTGTGTTTAGAAATATGATATGCGCATGATTTGCTGTGCTTGTTTCAGTCAAGAATCTCGCAGTCCTAGCAAGGATAAGCTTTTTATTGTAGAGAAGACAAAAGGTTTTTATTTTCTTTGGTTAGAAGCATGAAATGCCTGTAAATTTTGTTTGGTGTGATTTGGAAATCTTTCTAGTTGACTGACTATTAGAATTAAGGGTGAATGAACAGCTGCCCGAAGATCCCTTAAAAGCTTGAACAGCTAGAGTTGCAACTTAGAACCGTCCTGTTCTTTCAAAAAGCTTACATTTTAGCCATTTATCTCTGTTTGCCTGCATAATGACTTCGGCTTTCATAGTAAAAAGTGTTTAAGACACACAAAATACAACATCTATCTCCAAGTGTTCGAGAAAGGCGAAAAAGGCAGCTTTATAACCCTTGCTTTCTAAATGGCAATGGCGAGTTACCGTTGAGCCATGTCCATCACCAGAGAAACATAGAAGAGAATCATATTTTGGAAGGTTAGCCTTCTGATCCTGAGGATTGATTAACCTAAAACGTAAAAGTGAAAAACTGAGTTATATTTAAGGGCTTAACGAAAGGCATGTTTTCAAGCGATGATTGTATCTTATAGAAAGGCACGGTGACATCTATTTTCATGAAGTTCGATGAGAATTCTTATGCGGGTCTTTCATGGATTTGTCGTATACATTGCCGAATATGGAAAGGGGAAACAGTAACTCACAGTTGGGAAACAACTTTTAATTCTGCGGCTGATTCATTCATTTGCTAATCAATTCAAGTGGTTGAAATTCAAGAAATTCAAGGATGAACGAAAGAGCGTCTACTAACATTATGAGCTAATTTTAATTCATTATTCCAAGGGCAGAACACCATCACTGCATAAGGCGTAATTGATTAATTCCATTTTCGTTAAAAAGCACCCAGCCCATCTTATTAAATGTCATTCATCACTGGTTATAGAAATTTCTACCAACGACACTGATTGAAATTTAGGAACACACACAACTCTTTGATACCAAATTTTTGCCATTTTAATGTTATATTTTCTCTACCTTATGACATATTTATGGTGTACTTATGGTGTATTTATGGTGTAATTTAGTTGCTAGGAGCGTTTGGTTATTGAGGAAATTATGTGAGGTTGTTGTAAATGGAATTGGAAGGGAAGAAAATTTCTAACAGTAATTTTAAAATTCTGTTCCGAATCTTCTAATGTTAGTAAGACGTACAAAATTTGAAGAACTTGTTTAGACTCGACTCTATTTTTAGTCCAGAGAAGGTATTATCTGATTTCAGACAATATGCTGAAAAATCGTTTGCTCCATATGGTTTTCTTTTTATAATCAGGAGGGATGTCATGTATAAATGGAGGTTGCAGTAATCTTTTCTCTACAAAATCTTTTCTCGAATTCTCCCTCGCAGTACAAATGTTTTCCCCGCATGTGTTATCATTTGAATGGACTTTGCAAATGTCTACGTCAATATGCGACGTGAACAACCAAATAATATTGGATTATATTTTATCGGTCATTCATTCTCGGAAATAATTTCCATCCATTCAAATATAGAAATCACTGTGTGCAAATACGCCCATTTTAACATATCAACTTTAATTCGCCTGGTTTTATAGAATTTCAGATTCATATTGGAATGGAGAGGGAGGAGGCAATGTTACCCAAAGGACCCAGAATATCCACCACAGGGCTAGGTCAGAGTGTTCTGAACACAATTTGAAAGGCGCCATTTATGGTCTCTTAACCAAGTATAATTTCCCTTGCAAATCCTTTCTGTTCTGATAATTTAAAATTTCATGTCATTATGCTCTTATGCCTGTTGAAGCCTCCTTTAGTTAGCGAAGATGCTTTAAGATAGAGAGGGGCGTCTAAAGACAGTAGAGTTCTAAGGTGATGACATGACGTCACAAAATATAATCTTATATTTTTTTATTCTGGATCACAACACCTGAAAGAGCATTATGAAATACCTCAAACTAGGCCAATCAACTAAAGATTGTCTGGGATAAGGCTACATAAGCACAGAATATTTCCCTATCTGCAATTTGGTAACTGCTCTAAACTTTATGAACGATTCAAAATAACAGCAATCCGTTAAAAAACTTCCAATATTTCATATTATGCTAATTTAATATCGTTAGAAGTATTTCATGGTGTTCTTTGAAGTAATATGAAAAGTCAAAATTTTTGCAATAGATTTCTTATGACGTTCCACTATAGAACTTGTTAGGATTAATAAGAACCTTGAAGGTGAGCGGATCATCCTGATAAGATAAAAAAACGGAAAGGATCATGATTTCTATTTTCTGCAGTTGACTTTGTATCACTTGATACCTCCCATCAATACCCACTCATTTTAGTCCATTAGTATAGGTCATTAGCCGCAATTATTACTTCTTATTACCAATGATTTATAGGTGTAAAACAAACAATTAGAAACATAATAAAGACCGTTAGAAAACTTCATACTTGAAATCTCAATAATTTTCCTATTCTTATTATAAAAATATATTTGCTGCTTGCTGAAACTTTCTATCCTCGAGCAAGCAAAGAATGCCATTTGCGTCTATGGCAACGTGGCACAGGCATTCCTTGTAATCGTGTTCCGAGACGTAGGATGAGAACCGGGGGGCGAGGGGCTTTTCGTAAGAGCCCATTCAGGGGGAGTCAGTCCCCTTTTGGGTTGGATTTCTAGTTCTCAAAGTGACGTTTTAACAGAACTTCTTGCTAACTGGTGACCACGAAAAGGGCCCCTCCAAAAACTGTGCCCTCCTTAGTTATAAATGCTTCTTACATCCCTGATTGTGTTACAGTAATCCTGCCTCCTTAGTACATTTTGTGCTTGAGTAATGCTGACCACTTGCATTTTGCAACTCAAGGTATACAAAAGTGGAAGTACAGGGACAGCATACCTCTGGTGAATGCAAACATTAGATTTAATTATACTCCATTCTTTAGGCGTAATGTGTTTATGCTGGCATATCGCAATCGACAGAAACTCATGCTGTGACTCAAAAGACAGTTAAGATGGAGTTTATGTTTTCGTTTAACATTATAATTGAAGTATATCGTGTTTTCCTTTTGTAGGCCATCCATTATCAGACGGGATTAAGGAGTTAAGTGCATTGACCTGATAATCAAAGGCATCATCAGATCGGTGGAAGGAGAAGTGTCGTGGCGAGCCTCTCGGTAAGGTTATTTGGAATTATCAAAGACTCGTCGCTTGCTGGCATTCTTGAATAGCTAATTGTAAGCCCACCTATGTTCTAGGGCAGTTAAGCCAATTTGGAGGGCAGGAAACTCATGTTTTAGGTCTTTTATCTATAGATCAGTAATAGATTACATTTAGATGAAGTTTTCATGCTATTTAAAGGGCGAGTTCCAAGATCAGTGAAGCCTTTTCATATGAAGGCCCATTCAACAGTCTAATGATTTCATTTAGCGTGCAGATTGGGAAAGTGTGCCTCGAATTGCCATGTCATGTCGATACAGGTGATTTTATTAGGAGATTGTTGCTTTTAGTATTCATGTATCATACAAGTATCATGGCATGCTTGGCTTTTCCTGGCGTGCCTGTTTACATAGGCGCCCATTCTTCATACGTCATTGTATCCAGGCAAACTGTTTCTTTTGTCTGTTGATTTACAACAATTTTTTTTTCTTCCGCAGAGGATTTGCATTGCCAGTTGAAACAAGTAATTTTGTATGCTACAAGACTAGATTTGATTCACACGAAATAAGGGTAAGTTTATTTAACGTACTTTTCTTGTCTTTGCATTCCACAATAGACATGGTTTATGACGTCAAACGGGCTGAACATTTTTGATTTCCAAAACAAACCCTTTTGATCGCGAGCAAAAGCGTGGAAATTCAAATTGGTTGTCGTCTCCATTAAACTGTCTGTTTTACAAATTGATGCAAGCTAAAGAATTCCTGTGAAAAATAGGTAAGCTCTGTATTTTCTAAGTTTGTGTCTAGGCACGTGCATTCCTCGATGCTATTGCAGTTTCGCTCTTCTCAGCGTGTGGTTACTCGTACAAACCATACATAATGATACTCGTACAAATTCTTGATCTTAGTCAAGAGGATGTGGTATATTTATTAGGAACTTTTCTTCTAGGTGTTTTATGTTTCTTTTAGTTAGTTCTGCACCTGTGTTGAAAGGCCATTTTGGTCGAGACTTCCAGCTTGCAAGTGCTATGACGTGCTCCCAATTGTTTTGAATCAATATTTCTAGTGAAGAAGTACCACCACTTATCCTATTTAGGCTTTTACCTGCCTCATTTCAAACATTTAAGTAATCACAATTTTCCAATTTTTTTCCTAGGAAAACAGATATTTAAAGTGTTCTATTTGATCGAAGAAAATGAAGAGACTAGCAGCCTTGAATCTAAAGAAATTTGTTGGTTTTATTAAGTTTACGATGAAATTTACCGGACTGGAAAATTCTGCTTATTCAACTAATATTGCATTTTAAATCAGAGGACCTAGAATGGATTACGGTCAATTTAGGTACGCCATTGCGAACCTAACTGCAAACAGGACATTACCAAATTCAACTGACTATTTTCTGAATTGCCTGCACGAGGATGCATTCGATCCAGCGTGTGATTACTTGTACGAGCCCCCATTCGAACTGACTGCTGGGAGGGTGCTCTCAGCCATAGGCATTGCCATATTAATTGTCGCTGCGTTGGCTGGTAACATTCTCGTCTGTGTTGCATTTTGTCATTACAAGAGACTGCGCACCGTTCCAAACTACTTCATTATATCGCTAGCAATCAGCGACATTATAGTGGCAGCTATCTCTATGCCTTTGTGGCTTTCATTTGAAGTGACTGGTTGGCAGAGCCTACCCGCATGGGTGGATTTTTTAGCGCTGGGAAAGTTCTGGGAGTGCGTGGACATACTGGGCGCAGTCTCGTCGATTGCAAACCTCACAGCAATCAGTTTAGATCGACTGTTTAGCATACTAGCCCCTTTACGTCACAGAACACGCATGACTCCAGTGGTTGCGTTGATAATGATCACTTTTGCTTGGGCCTACGCTCTCATTTTGTCGCTGTCTAGGGTGCATTACTTTGAAGATTACACAGCCGTTATAGCAACGTTTGGTTTCTTTCTTCCCTTATCAATCATAATTGTATCATATTTAGCAATATACATCAAATACTGGATTCGTTCTAACAGACAAAGCAATTTGAATGGTGATTGGAACCTGGAAAAGACTCTCTTGATTGTTATAGGGCTCTTCGTTTGCTGTTGGTTGCCTTTCTTTGTCACAACACTGTTATACCACTACTGTTTAAGCTGCAAGTTTGATGACGTAACTGCAAAGCACCTTCGTGGCTTCACAAAGTGGATGCATTACTTGAATTCATGCTGCAACCCTATTATCTACGGCTTCTGCAATATCAATTTCAAGACAGCATTTTGGGCCTTGCTAGGCAGCTGTTTTGCAAGCCGATATTCGGATATGGATCTTGCGCCAAACTCAAGGGAAACGTCAAACAGCCAGGCGGGTACGCTGCTACGTCACTTGAAGTCAATCAAACGAAAACTGAGCTGGAAACGTGATCTAGAAGAAAGTATTGTAAGTAATGCCGGGGAGGTAAATGAAAACTCAATAAGTCTTGCCATTCTATCCATGCAGCTTAAAAACGAACAATCTGCAGAGGGCCAAGAAGCTCAAGCTCTTTTAGAAGATTCGCGTCCATCTTCTAAAGCTTCTGAAGATATAGGCCTACTGTCTGATGAACAGGTTTCTGTCCATAACTCAAGCGGCGACGAAACCACCTCAAACAGACTGAAGCGAGCAGGTTCAGGCGAACGCAGTTCTTGCGAGCTTAAACCTCGAGAATTTACAAATATGACATACCGGTCAACGCAGGAAAATGAGTTAAGATTTTCGAATCACAATGAGTCAATTCATGCCAGTCCAAAATGTGGAGCTAAACGTAGAGAATCCGACCCTAAAGAGGAAATCCAATCACCGATGCGTTTTGATACCGATAAAGACTGTCAAAGTGACGGGTTGAGAAGGAGTGTTCGAAATCTGGTTTCTGATCTTCCAAATCAGGAAGCAAGAAAATCATGCGATGATTGTCAAATAGATCTGACTGAAGATGTTGTTCGTGTAGAGGATGAATATTTATGTACCAAGAACAGAACGATTAGCAATGGTTATCCCTCATATCTTGACCAAGATTTTGGGTGTGAACAGCATCATGACAGATTTCTACCAGCGTGTTTGCATGTAACAGCTGATATTTTCGATATAACAGCACAGAGTTGGTCCGATTCAGTGACTCAAAGGAGAAAAGACTTTCTTAAAGAAGAAAATATAATAGATACTAAGGAGTCTATAGTGTAGATATTAATCCTTGCATTTACCTTCCATTCTGCCATACTATTGTGCGCTCGAGGTCTTACTATTAAAAAAAATTATTTCTGATCCTTGCAGTCTTGAAACAGAGACGGGTATGAAACAGAGGCAGTCTTAAAACATTTTTTGTTTCGGCCTCGCATGTTTACACAAAACGAGGACTCACTTTCTATTAATTTGCTGTTCTCGAGATTGGCTTTAAGTACGAAAACATAATAATCCCCAAATATAACACAAGTTCTCCTGATAAATAAACGCTACTGCCTAACAAGACCTTTTTTATTGTCATAGCCGTGTATTAACTTAATGTACATGTAAATACTAAGTTTGAAATAAGGACCATTGTTGTTTAAATCAAAACCACATTTATCTATGATGTATATTTGTAATATTTGTAACATGTTGTATCGCCAAACACATACATTATTAGCTCTTTTGTAATATCGAAATTTCGAAACTTTTGTCACCAATCGTAGAAGCCATCTTTTTTCTGCAATTTAAGTGCTTTTGAAAACCAGATTCAGAAATGGATACTACCTTTATTTAACTACTTTTAATAAATATAGCTCTAGATCCGAGTTTGAGTAGAGGAATTGTTCATCCAACATAGGGTAAATATCGAGTTTTGACAGAGAAACATCGAGTAATGACATTAACCGAGCAAATATGGACTTGTAAAAGCAAATTTAGATTAGTGGAATGTTAAATGAAGACAGAGAAAAGCTAAATTGTGAAACATGAATTGTGGCTAGCAAATAGCAATGTTAATATTCGACTCGACTGTTGTTACCTAAATCTAATCAATTTAATGCAGGTATTTATTACAAAGAAAGTTCAAAAAACTATTTTAACCTAGTTTTTCAATTGAAAATTTCAAACGACGATAGTTTAAAGTCATAGGAATTGTGGCTGATTATTAGATTGTTGTATTAAGTAGTTAATTATGGACCCATTTAATCGAAGCATTAAACTCCCATCGAGTGTAATATATCTTGTTTGTAACCTCGCAAATTTAGCATCACTTAATAGTACGAAATGTGGTGCCCTGGGTACTAGTGTCTCTGTTATTTAGACTCCGAAACTGTTTACAATACTTTATCTCCAGATTTATGAGGATCTGGTACCCAGGGTAAAGATTTGGAATATATTTGAATTACGCAAATGTAAACGTTGATGGTTTTGCTATTAGTGTTGTCGTTACAAACTACATAACTCTTGTTTCTATGTAAGCTCAATCCTAAACCCATGTGCTTTGCTTTGCTGAAAAATTAAAGAGCCAGAGCTCGTTTAAAAGCAGCCAGGTTGAAAATCCTACCAGGCTGCTATCAGCATTAGAATATCCATATAAAAGCAAATAATATTGTCATATATTGCAAGTAGTAGCGAGACTTTAATGTGCCATAAAGATATGTGCTCCAGTGTGAGGCGGATTGTTTATATTTTCTTGTTTACCACAGAGACTTTGCTAAATAACTTGCTAAAATATGCTTGGTTAATGACCTTTCCTTTGAGTTCCTTCCAACAGTATACGTGCGATCACACTATTTATGTCTGTCAGCAATTCTGCTGTTCTGCCCATTGCTTCCCTGTGTATCAAAGCTACCGCTGATGTGATAGTCCTTTGCATTTCCCCGCTCATATGACTTTCGCTGCTACAAGATGTCAAGGCGGTAGCGGCATAAAGGTGGAAAAATTGCTTTAGCTAGGCATCAAGAGCGCTATAGCTATGATTAACAGAGTGCTTCACGCTGTATTTAAGGATGTTCCATTTTTAGTCCAATTCCTTGCACTCAGAATGATGTCGCAGTGACATTCTTTGGGCTTCTTGAAAATATCTTGCTGCACTGGATTTGGTACTTTAATTCGGCTTTGACTCCCCTGTACAATTTCAAAAACCTTAACCTCTGATTCACATAAGATATTAAAAGCACTTCCATGTAGATCTCATTTTGATATATAGACTCTCAAATGTTTCAGGGTTTTATAACTTAGAAGTTATAGATCTCAAAATAGATTTAGAAAATAGGCCTCTGGGTTTGAATTTGAATTGATTTGCGTAATCTGTTCAATTCTCAAAATCTCTCCTTTACAACAGGCTCGCTCTAAGCTTCGGTGTCAGAAAAAATACACTTAGATGACGTCAGCATGTGAAGGATGTAGAGACAGCACATTTTTTATTGTGCCTATGAAGTTCATAGCTCGGAAAAAACAAGTCAAAAACACAAAGGACTATAGAAATAGCCACATTTTCCCGATACCAAGAGACTTCCAGGATTCTTCAGGGCAGGATTTTTGCTTTATTCAGCTCTTAATTTGTAACAGTGCAAATTTCCTGGAAACCCCTGAGCTACATGTATGATTTATAATGCTCAAACCGCAAGTATTTATTAAAGGAATGCTAAAAGAATAAAAATTACTTTTTGGGATAAAACGGATTTGAATTTATCTTGAACATATCCGAATAGAGATTAGTGAGCCCAATCAACTCCAATCCGAAACAGGTCATTTTTAATCGGATGGAACTGAGTTAGGATATTTTACTAATCCAGGCTTTTCTTTATTTTAGCTATTTTTACGAATTAGCCTTTTTTGTTTCTTTATTTAGTAGCTTCACACAAAGCATCTATATTAATTCATCTGAATTTGCGAAAGCGCGACTTTAACAGATGCTGACACGAAAGAAATGATTTATTCCAAGCTCGGGGGCTAAATTTTAGTTAAAGCGAATTACAGGACATCATTTACTTGCAGAAGACTCAAGGGGAAGCACTGCAATTTTGAAGAAAGACCCATCTTACTTGAAAATCCGTATTTCCATTCATATCTCAATAGGTAAAACTATTGAGTGAATTGACCATGTCTTTGTTTATCAAGATCATGACTGAGTCTTTTGGCACATATTTCATTTACATCTTGACTTGTCTAACTTTGGATCTCAACCTTGAAAATAAAAAGCTCCCCTTAGAATATCATTTAGGTCTCATTTCTTAATTCAGAGTCTTTTGTAAGAGGAATTCTAAGCACCAAGATTGTTTCAACAACCCACGGCAGGCCACCAGTGTAAATACAGTGAACTACCTTTCCGTTCTGTCTTACACTGTAACAGCTAACAATAGCAGTCTAGTACTAATTTATTTCCTTTTGAATGATAAATCGTTTTGTATACATCCATTTTAAAAGTCGAATTTATTTAGCAAAATGAGTTTTCCTGTTTCAAAGGTTTGGTGGTTTATTTTTGCCTTATTGTAGCAGGACTTAAGTTAAAAGTCTACTAGGTTTAGACGAGAACCTAATCAACTCAAGTAACTGGGCATTATTTGGCATTTTTAGTGCCTCTTGTTTGTTTTTGTAGTCCTCAGCTAGCTGTTAGAGAAAGGAATATAAAATTTTAACTTGTATGTAACTCAGGAACTACATGCAAAAATCTAATGGGGAAGTTACTTCCAATTACATCTCTATAAGACTTCCCATATGCCTCTAGCTAAAATTAAAAGCAAATCTCTGACCTTGGGTATCAAATGTTTGAATTAAGGTGTACAGTTATTCTCATGCCTAGGACAGGTAATATTCTAAAGAATAATACAATGCTTGTTATTTTCACTTTTACAGATCAATTTATCATGTATACTAGAAACAATTTTATTTCTATTTATCCAGGTAACAGCTAAGCATTTTCTAAATCAGAGTTAATCTTCAATTCTTTTCTATTTTGCTTTTATAACACTTTCGAAGAGATATAGCTCTCATATTTGATTGTAGCTCGAATAGCTCAAATGATGTCCTCATGTATCCACTTGCCAGCTGTATCATGGTAACAAGAATTTGTCGTTTTTCGATATACAAATGTCATTTTTTATGACTTTAATAGAAGGACTTTGACCGTGTCGATTGACTGTTAAAGTAATTGAAAATAAATGCACATCACTCCTTTAACGACGGAGTCGCTGACGTTATAAACAGTTGTTGTTTTTATTTTAATTTTACGAGGGTCAATTTTGTCCTCCCTGCCCTGTTGGTTGAAGGCAGGAGACTGTCTCTCCGTATCAGATAGTTTTCTCATATAGTAAATCCTCGCATATAAAAACCTACAAAAATAGGAACCTAGAGGCTGTTTTTCCTAAATTATGCACCTTGTAATTAAGAACCTATTTGAGTGTGAAGAAATATAATAGTTTCTTATTCCAAGGGCAAACAAATAGAGTTTTCAATGGTCCTTATTTACTCCCAGATTTTTTAAAGAGGAGGTAAAACCACATTCGGTATCAAAATTTTCAGTTGTGCATTTTCAGCATTTTATACACTTTAACAAAGGAGAACTTTAAAATCACTTCGACTTTTTAACGTAATTATATATAGCAAAATCCAAAATTATCAAAAATAAAATAAAAGCATTAGAATTCATAATTTTCAATTCCTGAGGACGTATGAGATCATCCCCAGATTCATCAACGCTCATAAGGCAGCCAGTGCACTCAAATGTCTTCCTGTAAATACCTTTGTAATGTTGCATTAATAACATTGCCAAAAGGAGAAAACAGGGTTGAATGCATCTCTTGATAATGAATCCTAAAATTTTAAATAAGGGATCCTTCGAATAAGAACCTGCATACCCTGAAATTAATCCAAGTACCTTCCCAATAAGAACCTACTTCAGCCTGAACCTCAAAAAAGTAGGTTCTTATATGCGAGGATTTACTGTACTCTAGACAGGATCTTTTTTCATCCCTGAAGCCTTCATGCTTGCATTCATGCTTTAGGATTTCTGTTTTGGTAATTCTAAAAGTGGCTTTTTTGCTATAGGAATAAGGTTATCTAAACAAAGTGCTTCTGTCTTGGCAAATATTTGTTCTAAATGTGATTTCGAAAAGGCAAATCAATTGAGACATGAGCCCCCCAATCACTTTTATCTGGGCCCCGTTGCAACGTAATCTGTCATGCCACTGCGCATGTTCATTTTTTGGACAATCCTGTGGCCCATTTCAAGATGGCGGCAACGGTGGCACGGCGAGTAGGTAAGTGAAAGAGGACATTTGGGTTGGATCCAAAACACCGTCGTCTTATTTAATGAAGTTATTGATCAATTGCATTTGAGGTCGTTGGAGGTAAATAATCAAGCTCAATACAAAATGCAAAAGCACTTTTTTTAGGACCAGACGCGTTCATGTAAGATGCAACAAACAAGCAATGATGCCCACCTTTAAATTCATTTTCTTGTTAAAGTATCATTATACACCTATTGAATACTTCTACGGATTATATTATATTTTTTCTACAATCTACAGTAGCAACAGTGCTGTGTTATCATTCATTTGACAAATTTAATTTCAACAGGCCAGCTTCTTAGGCCAGTTGGTACAAGATGTCTGAATTACGACGCAACAAGGACAAATATGATGATAAATAAACACTCTAAGGTTATCTGTCAAGGATTCACAGGCAAACAGGTATGTTAATTTTCCTTTTAGATGATACAAGTAGTGTAAAATGTGTATAATATCATCCAGCAGCAGCATCAGAGCTCAAAGTATTTTTTGTGCGAATTATTTTCAGCTGCTTATGCTCGGCTGGAAACACATGCTGCAAAATAGTAGGTTAAAAGCTACGGAATTTAATTTTGAAGTAACATTTGTAAGCCTCTTGGTGAGGCTGTGAGCAGGATTCAAACAAAAAACCATGCTGCCACAGTGCAAATTAATCTAAATTTGAGAAAATGCTCGGATGAGATTTGAGGAAAAGAAATATTGGAAAATACCCAAACTATGCAATCTGGCAGCAGCAAAATAGCCAAACTAAAAAAAACACATTAGCTACAACGGTTCCACCCTGGTGTGCTTTGAAGTTTAGAAATTTAGTTGTAGATGCATTTAAAATTAGAAAATAGGCTTTAATTAAAACAATATAGAAAAGCCAGTCAATGCAAAGCTTTGAAAAACTCTTTTTATACACTTACCCAAAATCTAACACATACCCAAAAGTCACTTTCAACCTTTGACAAAGGTATCACAAATAAGAACTTCATCCTTTGCTTTTTGACCATGATTTAAATTCAAAGTATCTTGGTTGCATCAATAGCTAGCAGGGTAATCCACAGTGGTAAGGTGGTTGGGCAGGATGGCAGACATTGACATGTCCTTGTTTTTAGAGTTGTTAGATTTGTTTGATACTTTGGGTATAAATTTTCTGAGAATTGGCTAATGCTAATGCTTTCTGGTTCCTATCTTTTTTACCTAAATTTTTCAGATGAAAAAATATTAAATTTTTTGCCCTCTTACCCTTGGATTTGATTTCTCTGATACCCCTAGGTTTTCATCTGAAAGGTGTGTGATCACAGGCATATGCCCTACTGCACGCCTACTGCTTTTTGTGAGTGTGAAATATCACATGCCTTCTGTTATTTTGAGAGCCAAATTCTTAATTATTGGTTTTGTGGGTTTTTGAGACAGGTTTAAATGTTTATCCTTCCTTGGTACTATTACTTCATGCTACTTTAAAAACTCTTAACACCTTGTCAGGATTGTGGATTAAATAAAGTTTTTTAAATAAGCAGAGGACTAAGCTACAGTGGAATCATGATATTCTGAAACCCCGGATACGAGTATAACTAATTTTTGGTATGGCAAAAAATGTCTTGCTTCTTGGATTCTGCCCAACCCCATACAAATTCTCTCTTTATAACAAACCCCACACATAACAAACTCTCGTCATTAGGAACCTAATTCTAGGTCCCTTCATTGTAATTTTCCTCGACATGATGAACTTTTCTAAAAATTTTCACCGTTTTTTAGTCTACTTATTCCTGGTGTATATATATTAATAACTATTCCTTGGGGGAATCATTATTGTGATCAGCAAAACATAACTTGGCAAACATGCACTTCTGATGCTGAGAATTGAGAAGAAATGTCTGCAAAAGTTAACACCTTTTCAATGCTTTATGACATTTCAGTGAACTACGCCAAATACGGAAGACTATAACAGACTTTTTTACCCCCCCCCCCAATTTTAAGAGGAACCTAAAGTCTTGTGAACAAATTCTTTATTTTCGATCATTAATTTAGCGAAAGTAGCGGATTTGCTGATTATGCAATGAAAAGGCAATTTAATAGATTTGTTGATTATGCAAAAAAGTAGCAGAATAGCAGATTTCGTTACCCTCTTAAGATTTTGATATGCTCTAAATCTAGATTTTGGCAACATTAAATTTGATAAAGAATAGCCCATCATTATATTTTATGCATATGCTTTATGGATTATCAACATCTGGGCAGTGAAATATGTGAAATAGCTGTCATGCTTGATAACAAAGGCCCCTTGAGTATACGGATTTACACACAAGAAAGGTCATTGTAACCAGATGAATGCCAAGCCCTTAATGACTCTCCTAAGGATTCATTATTGAAGCTGATGAAAACTGCTTGTGACATGGCAGATATTTTTCTGTACTTGCATTAACATGTTTTTGCTAATAAATTAAATAAGCTAAGTTTATACTTGTGTAGAAAATTGCTCAAGTCTTCAGGAACAACACTCTTTTGTTCAAATGTACACAGCGGTGCTAAGAATTCAGCAAAGAAATATTCATCTAAACTCTTGCTGTCATCATAATCTTGTTGGCAATTTGTGCATAGATCTATCATAACTACCATAAATTTTTGCGGAAAACTGCACCCCTGGTAACATGACATATACAAACCTGTGTAGAGAAACAATCAATATCACTCTATTTGTTGTGATTTGTATTAAAAACAAAAAAGTTCTCTAATTATAGATTACAAAGATATGTTTCCTTTTTTAAGCATGTCTAGTACCTATTCAAGGCCTTCTTTTCTGCAAAGAGTCCCATCAACATTTCTTTGTAGCTTCTATTTTGGGGCAATATCTGCCTTTGCATTTTAAAATTTGAGACACCTTTCTATGGTTTCTGCCCTCACATTATGCTGAGTAGTCTTGTATGTCAAACCTGAATGTCACTTACAGAATATCACATAAGTGTCATAAAATTTTGCTTACTAAAGAAACAATTTTATTGACTAATTTTTTGTTACAATTTGGTGCCCTCCTCTAACTGTACTGTGCAAAAGTTTTCAATTCCAGTGATCTTTGAACTAGGTATTCAACAAATATACACAGCAGTGGGAAAACAGATCATAAAAAACTGCATGCACATTACAATCCAATCAACCTTTGAAAATCAAAGGAACAAAAACACTTTATTAACTAAGAAGTTTCTTGTCAGCTCTAGAATGTCTCACCAAAACCATCATTCAAACTTTTCATTTAAAATATCTTGATAAATATTAGGTCACCTTTAAACTTTTCCTTTGCATCATTAACAAGGATATTTTTTCATTTGGGGCAAAATTGATGCTTTTGATGTTTTGCTGTTAATTCTCTCTTCAAAGGTTTGAATCTCTTCGAGTAGATAGAAAAAGCTCAGAATTTTTTGGTGTTTAGAAAAACAAAGGAATCTTCAAGACTCATGGCATAGAAAATGATTTTACTAGTATTAGCTCAGAATCTGTGTCATCAGCATTAACTGTGAACATTTTTCTACCATTGGCTTGTGGTGAACAATGATTGTCAGAATTCCAAAGTTTAGTACACAAGTACTTACAGTTTAACACAAATACCTTTTAGGGGACATTTCATAGTGAACAAGCACTTGCATATGGAACAAATCTTGTTGGTGGTGTTTCCCCTAAGAAGGCTGGAACAAAGCATCTTGGAAGACCAGTTTTTGCTTCTGTAAAAGAGGTATATCATTATTAATTTCTTAAATGATGCAAATCTGTTATTTGTTGCCTAATTTAAATTGTAATTTGAGGAGTACTTAGCATATAGTTCCAGAGTTGAATAATTTTTAGAATTTCTTGTAGAACATTAATGTTTTATTTACTCTAAATTATATAAGCCTATAGTCATATAATTTAATAATCAATGTAAAAAATTAACCTGTTTAATCAGTTTTACAGTTGTGTGTAATGATTAGTTAGCAACTGGTTAAATTTAGAAAGATTGGATTTTTTAGCAACAGTCAAAACTTCACATTTTTCTATAAATGTAAAATTATTTCTTTCCTTGACAGTTCTTTCAGGCCTTGCAAGGAGAGGCCCTCAAGCTCGATCAACAAATATCGATCAAGCACCTAACATGGTTATGCTGTCTAAAAACTAAATGCCAAAAACCAAATTTTGTTATTGATGATTTTAATGATGCTCATGTGACACCTAAAAAGTGTGTCAAGTACCTGCTTTTTGCTCCTCCAACGGCCTGAGCTGTTTGGATTTTCTGGCACTTTTTGCTTATGTGTATCTTTGTATTGATATTTAGGCTAAAGAAGCAACCAACTGTGATGCAACAGTTATTTATGTACCAGCCTCTGCTGCAGCTGAAGCCATATTTGAAGCAATTGATGCAGAGGTTCCTCTGATTGTCTGTATCACTGAAGGAATCCCACAGCAAGATATGGTCAAGGTATGTTCCTTACATATTCCTCATTCAGGGCATACAATCATTTTGGGCTTCTTGGTGACATTTTATAATTTTAAAATTGTCTTTGCACCACCAAAAAATAGCTGTGGGTGTTCTCTGTTTGTAAGAAGGACACTCCATGTTTATAAAAGAGCAATCAAAATTTAAAATGAAACCGGTACAAAGTCTGACAGAGTCTATGATGGAATTTGGAAAAAATGAAAATAAAAAAGTAGTTTTTTCATTCTAAAGTATCACAGTGTGATATTTTCATGCCAAAATTGTTCGCTTATTATTTTGAGGAAAATTGTTTGAAAGGAAGAAAACTTAATTTAACATATCCAACCAGACCAAACCTTGTTTGGCTAAGAGCAGGCTGAAAGTTTGGCTCATTGGATGCCTTTGAGTTTAATATGCAGTAAATTGATCCTTTATTCCATGTCAGTTTTGTATGTCTTAATTCAGGGGATTGTTCTGGAGCTTCTGTGGTCAGGAGATTTTATTGATTCTATCATCATCATTGAAATTGTAAATTAGTTTTTATTTCTAGCATGTTTTTGTTGTCTTAATGATTTCTTTATTGTCCAATCCTTACTTCTTTCAGGTAAAACGACGACTTTTAGACCAAACTTCAAGTAGATTAATTGGACCAAACTGCCCTGGAATAATTAAGGTAATTAGTTTTTCTTATCTATTCTCAATTGTAGTAATGGAAATCTTTTGTTCCTAAAGACATTTTCTTTATTGGAATTTTTTGTGGCACAAACCAAAGGTTTACAGTGAGATTCATAGAATCAAGCCTATGGAGAGGGATTTGAAAGTTTGGTTTCAAGGATCTTCTTTGAAACCTAATCAATCTGCTTTTAGCTTTGAATAGGTAATTATAATTTACCATTTCCCTCATAAAGTTCACATTTACTACTTTTTTGCTAGTTTTGATGATCAAATCCACACTATGTGATATTAAGACTATCTTGTATGATATTTTCGATTTTTTGTTTAAGATTCATGTCTGGTTTTGTTTTTTAAACAATTTCTATACTTACCAAGTGTTTAAGACAGCGAAGTCTACCAACTATCACAAAGAATTTGCAACTTGTCTGCAGAGCTTAATCTTCCTTTACCAAATTCTTTTTTTTGTTTGACAGCCTGGCGAGTGTAAAATTGGTATTATGCCTGGCCACATTCATAGGCCTGGAACAATAGGTGAGATACAGATACATTAAACATGTTAAATTACTTAACATCGATGCATAATCTAAAATAGGGTCCTTATAGTGGAATTTATTAGTTTTTGTAACACATCGAAGACTAAAACCCCTCCTTAGAGGGCCCCTCCTTAGAGGGCCCCTCCTTAGAGGGCCCCTCCTTAGAGAGCCCCTCCTTAAAAAATTCCCTGCAAGCAAGTATTTTTCCTTACATTCTTGTTATTAATTTGTATTTATTAACACTTAATTAGCTTATTTGAAAATGTTTGTATGTAGCGGAATTTTGAAGTCAAAAACTGAAAGCTGAAAACTAGCTCTTGTTTTTACAAAGAGAATAGTTCGTTTCTTCAAAGTACCTTTGTACTAGTTAGGTTACAAATGGGACTTGTTTAACTGATTTATAGAAGCTTTTGAGGTGCAAATTCAGGTAGTCAAGCAACAATAAATTTTGTTTTAGAATCTAATCTCTGAATTTGATCTTTTTAATTAAACTTTATGCAGTTTCATCAGTTAATCGTGTAGTTTTTCTTTTGTTTAGTACTCGTTAATTTACTTTATTTTAAAATTCTAGCTTATAACATTGGATTATCGTCGTCATATTTCTTTGTTTCTGAATATCTTTCGTATTTCTGCTCATTGCAAGATTCATAAAATCCGATGGACGCAAGTATGTAGTTGCCTGATGACTGAACTAAGCACGAAACTCAGGATGAAATCTTAGAAACGTTTTCTTCAATAAAAAGTATTTTGTCTTTTGATATTAAATGGCTTCCTTTGTTTTCTTTCTATCCAGGCATTGTTTCTCGTTCTGGTACGTTGACATATGAAGCCGTGCATCAAACAACCCAAGTCGGTCTAGGACAAACTCTCTGCGTCGGTATGAACCACAGCCAGACTTTTGTATGCTATTATTTGCCTTTTGCACTCCAAACATAGCAGGAAACAGCGAAACATAGATCTTGTATCTCAGTCAGTTTTTAATTTCTTCGTTTTATATTCAGTGTTAAAGTATACTGCGAATTTGTTGTATTATATGTAGCAAGTTTTGTCAGTTTAATATGCCTGGTAGTCTGCAAAGTTATATTTTATTCGTGACTGTATCCAAAATACTTTTCTTAGGTATTGGAGGCGATCCATTTAATGGAACCAACTTCATTGATTGTTTGGACATATTTTTAAAAGACAACAACACCAGAGGTAACATTGATAATTTGTTTCTTTTAAATTTTTTTTATAATTTTCTTGTATTCTAAATTTTCTTATCTGTCAGAAGGGAACCCCATCGCTAGTTTCTTTTAAGTTCTATAATACCTCCATAAATGGAACTTCTGATAGACCAAAGTTAATGTCAGTTGCATGGAAGTGTGAATTGTCTAGAGGCTATTTAAGCAAGAATATTTTCCACAGGATAGGTGTTTTAAGGAAAAGCTATTCTTCTCCTTTTAAGTGGTATCCCTTACATGGAGATGCTGTGGTTTCTCGCTTTTAACAGTTAAGTACTATCTTAAGAATTATTACATGAAAAGCTTTTGAATGTTGGCTGTATGTTAAAACTACTTGTGGCTGCACGGAGTATGAGGCAGAAAAGTGGCAAACTTGATGTTACACAACTGACAAACACAAGTGACTTTGTTTACTTATTGAATCAAATAACTAGCCCCCTTATTTAAATTCTGTAACTGACCATTTGTAATACCAAATCTGTCAAAGTCTTCTTCCTTCTCCCGGCCAATAAGCTAAAATTTTCAAAGGCTTCTTTAAAAGCAATGCCAACAGATCTTGGCTTGATCATGGTAACATTATTTTTTCTTCACTTTCTTTACTCACTTATCTTCATCATGAAAGACCACTGTTAGCCTGTTGCTTTTTATACACTCTTATTTAAGTTTCTCAAGTATTTCCAAAGAGCTCTGAAACTGCTTTCGTTGTCTTGGCTTACAAGAAGAAATATTTTCAATACGACAGAGTTTGTTGCCTGATGACCTATTAAGCGTGAACTTCAGAGAAGTAACTTAGAACCGTCCTTTTCTATACCCTAAATAGTGTGTACAGCTCTGCCTATACGACATTGTGCACTTTATGACAGTCCTGTAAACAGTAATTGTCATTTCATAAACGAAGTTATATGTGTTCCGTGCCAAGTAACGATATCTCATGGCTTTTTAGATGTCTCCTTTATATTTCTAAAACGCTTACAGGTCATTCTGGCGTCTCATTTTCTAGTTTTTAACGACCTGAAGCTGTTAATAATGTGTCTGCCAATGGTTTTTAAAACAGACTATTATCAATTTTAGCTTTCGAAATAACTACTTGTGGGTTTCCGAAAGTTGTAATTTATAAGTGATCTTTAGTTTCCCTGGACTTTCTTTGAGATATTTTTCTGATATAGAACTTTTACACTTTTGTTACTTGCTGTTTTTCGCGTGATCTTCTGTTCCTACATGCTTTGCTTTTTTGAAATAATATTTTATTGCCACATTTCTGTCTTTGATGTTTCCAGAATTAATTGCTGGCCGTATATTTTCTTCTTCACTGAGGCTGTCTTGCTTTTATCTCGCTTCTGTTTTTTCCTAACTTTCTTTCAGGATATTTTTCTATTTTCGCTCTTGATGACCTTCTTATGGAACTTCCATATCAGATGGATCCTACATGAATCCTCACACTTTGTTATAGTTCTTTCATTTGTAGACCAACTCCAGTTTACTGTAAATTTGATCGTTTTTTAGTATGCAAACACTGAGTATTGATTCCAAATCACATTATGTCCGTAACATGATTAACAGCAAGGGAGCCTAATGAGATATATCATCTAAGCTGTGTACGATTCTTCATCTTTCGATGACAGTTAAGAGGCTAACTGCGTTGATATTACTTGCAACCCTTAGCCAACAAGTAATGAATTAGTCCTGTATAGGTTTTATTTTGCCACCCTCGTTTGTATCCTAGTAGCAACAAACCCTTGCTAATGTGTTTCCACAAGCGTAGATGTTCGGTGACCTACATAATCAGGCTTCTACTCTGACACTTGGCCCACAAACACCCTTGGTTAGACAATTCTTTAACACACACCTGATGCATGATTCCCATGTATCCGTTACAATTAGTCGACAATCCATGCTCACTGTGACCATTAGGCACCTGTTTATCATATGGACAACACATGTAGCCAACTGCTTCAGATCTGCGACACTTTGACGGCTCATTATAAGAAAGAGACTGTTATAACTAGTTAAAAATGTGAATCATACTCGTCTGTCGTCTCACTGTGTGATTTTCCAAACTGTATATGTTGGCTATTTCGATTCCTTTATCCTTGACTCGTAATCTCCGATGCTTAACAAGACAACCCATTCCCTCTGCTCTTTACCCGTCACCGGAGAATTTGTTGCTGTTGGTCGCTAGATGTGTTTTTCTCATATGTCAGTTTTACTAACAACTCTTACATAGCACAGGAAAAGTAAAAAATCTAGGGAAACTGTTTAAATTGGTGAAACTTCCAAGTAATAACTATGTTTTTTACGCCTAAAATTAGGATGCATATTGATAGCTGTCCGTTATGTTGTAGGAATTATAATGATTGGTGAAATTGGTGGTGGTGCTGAGGAAAAAGCTGCAGAATATTTGTTGGAACACAATGTTGGAGAAAAACATAAACCTGTTGTTGGATTTATTGCAGGGTTGACTGCACCCCCTGGAAGACGAATGGGTAAGCTCATTATTTCGTAATGTAATCAAGAACGCAAGGAGGTCAGATAAATCTTAGTTCATTGTCTGTGTCCTGGAAGAAGATATTTTAGATCAACCTTTAACTAGGGTTCATAACGTTATGCAAGTTATTTAATGTTTAGTAAAGTCGGTTGTTTCAATTTTGTTTCAATGTTTCAGGTCGAGTTTTTGTTTTTAAAATCGTGTGACATAACAAACATTTGCTACATACAAATATATTTTACTTTCCTTCTGCGTTTGTTTGCAAAACGAGTTATGTAAAAATTATTCAATTTCCATTCAAGAAACATTTCTCCATAGGTCACGCTGGTGCTATCATTGCTGGCGGAAAAGGTGGTGCTGGTGCAAAGGTTTGTACCAAGAAAAAACCTCAACTATACATAGAAATAATTTTTCTTTGTAACTATTTTCTGTATGCCTTGAAGTTGTAAATTTCAACTTACAGTCACTTCTTGTTCAGATCTATGTTTCTGTTTGGTTCCTGTGCTTAACATTATAAAACTAAGAGATCCCATATATCTATAGATTGAAGCATTGAAAGAGGCTGGCGTACACGTCACCAATTCACCAGCACAGTTAGGATCAACCATGCGAGAGGTGAGTCAATGCAAGCTCATCTTGATGCTTGACATTTGCAGTATACATCAACGATACCTGAAGGGATTTTAATCGCATCATTTTTCACGATGAATGATCTATTATTTATCCTATGATAGTAGTAAGGCCGTTATCTTTTCTTTGAAGGCAAGTCACATCTTTCTTGTTATGTTTTTGTTAATGTGTTCTTTTCGGATGGCTCGAAGTAAGGTGTCAAACTGGAAACCACCCAATGTGATAATGCCCGCCCAGAGCTTTTCTGGAGCCTGGGGCAAGAAGACAAATGCGGCCCGTAATGACGTCATTAAATCTGTGATTGTTATTGTTGCTGTTATTGTTTGGAACTTTGTTATATCTTTTTGAGGCCTCTCTCGGCACAGGCCATGAGACAGTCTGCCTCCCTGCCTCCCTCTCGGTGGACCTGAATATGAAACATTGTCTGAATAAAGACAATGTTAAATATGAAACATTGTTTTAATTAACTATATAGACTGTTGTTGTTAGTATTCTGTTTTACTGTTTGTTCTTATTTTCAACAGGTTTACGACCGTCATTACTATACACGATGAAATGTCAG